GCCTGGCGTCTCTCCAGGAATTCAGACCAGGAGTCTTTCCCAGATGTCCCTAGAGATGTTCTGTCTCTGATTTACAGTCCCATCCCAAATTCACCACAGATACAGGAATATATATATACACATATATATACACACATATACAGTGGTGCCCCGCAAGACGAATGCCTCGCAAGACGGAAAACCCGCTAGACGAAAGGGTTTTCCGTTTTTGAGTTGCTTCGCAGGACGAATTTCCCTATGGGCTTGCTTCGCAAGACGAAAATGTCTTGCTAGTCTAGAGATTTTTTTTTCGCTTCCCCCCCCCTTTATCTAATCTGCTAAGCCTTTAATAGCCTTTAATAGCCTTTTAGCAGCTAATCCGCTAAGCCTTTAATAGCCGCTAAACCGCTAATAGCGCTAATCCGTTAAGCCGCTAATAGGGTTGCTTCGCAAGACGAAAAAACCGCTAGACGAAGACTCTCGCGGAACGGATTAATTTCGTCTTGCGAGGCACCACTGTACCTACATATATATATATATATATATGTACTCTAGAACTTTGCACATTAAAAAGAACTCCCACAACACTGTATTATTATCATTTTTTTTTTTTAAAAAGCTTATAATTCAGACCAGCACAGAACTCAACAAAAGCCACAAGCCACTTGCACATGCTCATTTGTGTATATATTATCATTATTTCTTAGATTTATATACCAGATTTCATCATAAGATCTCAGGGCGGTTCATAGAGCAAACTACAGTGGTACCTTGGTTGTCAAACGGCTTCGCTCCCGAAGAAATCGGCTCCCATACACCGCAAAGCCGGAAAGGAGTGTTCCGGTTTGCGAACATTTTTCAGAAGGCAAACGTCCAGTGAGGCGTCCGCAGCTTCTGATTGAGTGCTGGAAGCTCCTGCAGCCAATTGGAAGCCGCGCCTTGGTTTCTGAACTGTTCCCACCCTAACTGTTCCCACAGTAGAACAAGGTTTCCCAAGCTTGGGTCTCCAGCTGTTTTTGGACTACAATTCCCATCATCCCTGACCACTGGTCCTGCTAGCTAGGGATGATGGGAGTTGTAGTTCCCAAAACAGCTGGGGACCCAAGTTGCAGGGAAACCCTGCTGTAGAATATTAATCATCCAAATCCCTGTTTGAAGAGGACCGTTTTCACCTGGTGCCTAAAATATACAATGAAGGTGAAGCATTCCACAAATGGGGAGCCACCGCAGAAGAGGCCCTGTTCTCGTGTTGCCACCCTCCAGACCACATGTGGAGAAGGTACAGAAAGAAGGGCCTCAGATGACGAATGCAGAGTCCGGGTTGGTTTATATAGGGAGGGGCGGTACTTCAGGCAAATACAGGCATTCCTTGCGATATTGTGTGTTCTGCTCCAGATAACCACAATAAACCGAACAAAGCAAATTGCACCATTTTTTGGGTTTCCCACGGCATATGAAAGTTATGCTTACTCTACATTGCAGTCTATTAAGCCAGGGGCACCTGGCCGCAGGGGCAGGAGGGGAGGAAATCCAGCTCCAGCCTGCTCCACTCCTGTGGTCAGAAGAGGGTGTTTGTGTGTCTTCCTTCACCTGGAATCTACCAGGCTGCCAGCAGCTGCCCCCACACCCTTGCAAGGAGAAATATCTGCGAAGCGCAATAAAGCGAAGTGCCACCTGTTTCTAGTTGCCTACAGGTGATGGTTCCTCGCCACGCCAGCCAAGCAAAGCTGTTACAAAGAGGGACTCTGAGCAATCTACCCAACTTAACCCCAAACCGGTGCCACACAAGAACATAATAAGGACACACCTAGATATGGCATAGGGGAGCCCCACAAGCAAGACCTGGGCACAACGGCACTCTGCCCACCTTTGATTCCAAGCAACTGGTATTCCACCTCACGAAGCCATGAATAACAAAACCCTTTTCTGCCATGAAGCAACGAGCCAACCAGAAATGTTGCCCTTGGGCTCAGGGTTTTCGGCATTTTGTTCAAATGCGCTTTCCGGCCAGTGCTGGTTCAGTGGTGCTGACCCAACAGTGGAAGTCCTGGAATTAGGCAGTTGCTGCCCCACTCCATTTCCAACCATTGAGAGAGCACCGTACCAGTGTAGCTGCTATGGTGATGCAATGATTGCTCACAACCACCAGGGCCAACACACCTTCCTCAAGCCACCTGCCCTGCTCCAGAGAAGACCTGTGAGTCAAGAGTTCCACTGTTCCAAGCGGTCTCAAAACTCGGTACCCAACTGTTTTCAACCAGCAATAATAATAAGAACCATCATAATTGGGGGGGGGGGAGAGGGAGGGAGGCTGACATTAAAAGGGAAGATGGATCAAGAATTAGACCTTAGGTTGCCACACACAGGAAGGACAAGGATATAGTTTGAGTGCCTCACTTGTAGCTCTATAAATCACTTAACGTGCCAACACGAAGTTATTAACACCGCAGTTGTTGTAGAAGGGGTTGTTATTTTGACCGGAATGCAATTGACATTAATAAGATTTTGGAACGCAGAAATAAAGAAAATCATCAAACCATCCATTCTAGAACTCGCAGGGGGGCGGGCACCTAAATGATAGAATTTGGTATTTGAATGATTGATATTAGTAATTGTTTTATAATTTGGTATTGTTATGATGAGGCTGTTATTGGGTTGTAATTGAAAAATTAATTTTTAAAAATTATATTTTTAAAAAATGAGACCAGAGGCAATCTCATCTGTAGCTCATCTGTGCAACCCCTCCCCACTCTTTCTTCCAAACAGATAAGACAGACATGATTGCTTTTCTCACCTGACTGGCTTTGTAGAACTGCTTCTTTAGCCCGGCCACAGACATGGTGCCTCCTTGTAGTTACTGAAAACTAGCTCGCTGCGGTGGGGAAAACGAACAAGAGGCAGAGGAAAGAGGGGAGCAGGCAGGTGTCCCCGGGGGCTATATGATTTGAGGCACAGAGGTTGATGGAAGCGTGGGGGGCCAGACCCCAGCCCCTGAAATAAAGAGGCCACTGGTTAAGTTAGCAGGCGGAGGCGAAGAGAAGACTAAGCCCGTCCCAAGAGGCAGAGAGGTTGCCAGAAAAAAGGGGGACACACAGAATCTGTGCCTGACACGAAGAAAGAGAGAGACCCCCAAAATGACACAGAAAAAGACAAAAGTGTCAGATGAAAGGAGCTTCCCCCTAATAAAAATGAAAATTGAAAAGGCAAGAGAGGCTTCTGAGAGACAAAGGAGTGTAAGGAGACAGAAAGGAAGGGAGACAGGCAGAGACAGTTGACACAGCTGCTCCTGGGCAGTTTGGGAGGTTCAAGAGGCTAGTCCTCAGTGAGGCAAAGGAAGGGAGGAAAAGTAGTCCCTGAGGAAGAGGGAGAGAAAGGAAGGAGAGGCCAGGCTTGGCTGAAGGGGAATGTTATTTCTCTTTTTGGTATTGGTTGTTTTAAAAAAGGAGGCTTCAAGAGAGGGAGGTGAGAGGAATGAGACAGAAAGGAGGACAAGGACTGACAGGTTCAGACGGCGGACGGACACACAAAGTAATCCCCGCGCCCACCCCCGAAAGGCGGAGAGGAGGCAGGTCGGAGGAACAGCCGGGGAAGAGGAACGGGGAGGACACGGGGTGGCGGGGGAAACATCCAGACTCGGGCTGAGCTCGCTCTCTGGCTCCCCTCGGCGCTTCACTTCCGCCACCCCCCTAACGCGCAGGCGCGCAGGCAGGCGGAGGGATACGCGCTCCTCCGCCGGAAAGAAAAGTGTGGGAATGAGGAGGAGAGAGTGAGATCCGGACTCCACGCTTCCAACCATAGACGCGGGCGGGGTAGAGCGCCGGAAACGAAAGCGCGTCACCGCCGCGGCCACGCCCATCCCGCGCTTCAAAGAGCGGAGCCAGAGCGCCCCCTGTCTTCCTTTGCAGGAAGCTTCGGAACGAGATGTATTACAGTAGTAGCCGCCGCCTCCTCCCGCGCCTGGTCGTTCTGAACTACAACTCCCATCATCCCTTGGGAGAACGTGCACCAGTTAGCTATTTATTTCCGGGTGGACGGCGCCATAATAATAATATTATTTATTATATTAATCTATTATTAATTTCTCATTATTATTATTATTATTATTATTATTATTATTATTATTATTATATTAATTATTGTTATCATAAGTTATTTATTATTATTAATAATAAAATTTTATTTATATCCCACCCTCCCCAGCCAAAGCCGGGCTCAGAGCTGCTAGCAACAGTAAAACTAGCACAATTTACATAAAATCACAGTCAATTAATTGAAATACATTCTAAAATCAGTTCACAATCATATTATTATTATTAGCAGTAGCAGTAGTAACAGTTGTTATTTTAAAAACATAGAAAAACAGAATAAAAATGCATTACATGGTTTAAAATAATTATCAAAATCCAGGCATTCCGAGAAATGCGAGCCTCACTTGTTTTTGAATTATTGTTTTAGTTGTTCTTGTTTTCTCTTTAAGCCGCCTTGAGCCCATGTCAGGGAAAACGGCGGGGTATAGATAAAACAACAACAATTATTTTTATTAATAAAAATTATTATTATTTATAATTATTTATAATATTAATAACTATTCAGTATTAATAACATGTATTATTATTAATAATAATAATTAATAATTAACGAAGATAATTATTGAGGGTATAATAATAATAATAATAATAATAACTGTTACTACTATTACTACTACTACAGCTTTTGCATTAGACCCTCTAATCTAGCGCCTCTGATTTTATCTTTATGGGCGGGCGAATGAACCAGAGGCGCATGCGTCCCGTTCCCCGTCAGTTATCGCGAGAACTAACCATATTTTTCCCACGCTGCCTCTACGCGGGGGGGGGGGTTCCATGCGAGAAGACGTTGGGCCGGGCGGGCGGGGAGGCGTGGCCAGGGGGCGGGGGCTAAGCGGAGCCATCCGCGCATGCGCGTCCGGGACCCTTCCCCGTTCCTCTTGTCGCGAGAGTTCGCTTACGTTACTCCGCGAGCCTAATGAAGGCGGGGCGGGGGGGGGGAAGAAAAGAGAAAGGAAACCCAAGTCACGTGGGGCGCGGCGTCCCGCCCAATCAGGGCGCCGGAGCGCGAAGTCCTCCCGAGATCCCGCCAAATACGAGCGGGCGCGAGGGAAGCGGGAGCCGGACGGGGTGCCGGAGGGGACAAAAAGCCGCCGTCGCGGGTAACGGACGGCTTTGTGTGGTGGTTTTTTTTCTTTTAACCCCTGTGAGGGATTGAAGAGGGGGCAGGCGCGGGAGCGTGCCTCGGGGACGCGCGCGGGCCCCCTCCTCCTCCTCCCCCCCCCGCGGTTCTCGTGAGGGGGAGCCCGGCTCGGCCACTCTCTCCCGCGCGCGAGAGGCCTTTCCCTCTTCTTCTTCTTCCCTCAGTCCTGAGGGAAAACTTTGTAGCAGGTGAGAGAGGGGGAGAAATAAGAGATGAAGTATCGCCCCGCGACCCTTCGTGGGGGGGGGGGAGGACTCGAGGGGAGGGAGAACTGAGGCAGGTCGGGGAAGGAGGGTGGTGGGTTTATGGGGGGGGGGGAGATATTGTCCTGAGGGGAAACCGAAGCGGGAAAAGGGGTGGGGGGGTTGTCTGTGTGTGTGTCACGCTGCGGGTATTAAGGTGCTGGCGGGGGGGGGGGTTCCTGAGGGGAAACTGAGGCACGTCGTGGCTGCTGAGGTGGATATATTGCGAGGGGGGGGATAATTGTCGTCCTGAGGGGGGGGGAAGGGGGGTAGGATGGCTCTGCAGAGCGGGAGGGAGGGAATGTCTTAGGGGCTGCTGGGGGTTGGGCTGGATGACCCCTGGGGTTCCCTTCCAACTCTACAATTCTACGATAATTGGGAAAAAAGCTTTTCTTTTGATGGGGGGTGGGGAGAAGCGAAGTACAGTGGTACCTCAGGTTACATACGCTTCAGGTTACAGACTCCGCTAACCCAGAAATAGTACCTCGGGTTCAGAACTTTGCTTCGGGATGAGAACAGAAATCGTGTAGTGGCAGCAGCAGGAGGCCTCATTAGCTAAAGTGGTGCTTCAGGTTAAGAACTGTTTCAGGTTAAGGATGGACCTCCGGAACGAATTAAGTACTTAACCCGAGGTACCACTGTAGAGATATGCTTATGTCGGAAGTTTCCAAGCAGAGGTTGGATGGGGTCATCTGTCAGGGATGCTTTGGCTGGCTGAGACTCCTGCATTGCAGAGGGTTGGACTGGATGACCCCTGGGGTTCTCTTCCAACTCTATACAGTGGTACCTCAGGTTACATACGCTTCAGGTTACAGACTCCGCTAACCCAGAAATAGTACCTCGGGTTAAGAACTTTGCTTCAGGATGAGAACAGAAATCGCATGGCGGCAGCAGGAGGCTCCATTAGCTAAAGTGGTGCTTCAGGTTAAGAACAGTTTCTGGTTAAGTACGGACCTTCGGAACGAATTAAGTACTTAACCTGAGGTACCACTGTACAATTCTATGATAATTGGGGAAAACTTTTTTTTTGGGGGGGGGAGAAGCGAAGCAGAGGTATGTTTATGTCTGAGCTTTCCAAACAGAGGTTGGATGGGGTCATCTGCCAGGGATGCTTTGGCTGAGACTCCTGCGTGCAGGGGGTTGGACTGGATGACCCCTGGGGGTCCCTTCCAACTCTACATACAATTCTACGATAATTGGGGAAAAACTTTTTTGGGGTGGGTGGAGAAGCAAAGCAGAGATATGTTTATGTCGGAAGTTTCCAAGCAGAGGCTAGATGGGGTCATCTGCCAGGGATGCTTTGGCTGAAACTCCTGCGTGCAGGGGGTTGGACTGGATGACCCTTGGGGTCCCTTCCAACTCTATGCGATGCTACGATAACTGCACACCCATGTTCTCTAGCCACTGGCTCTGCAGGGATTCAGAGGGGAAACTTGAGGCGCTGCAGCAAGGAGGGAGGGACAGGGAAATCCCTTATGGGTGGGCTGCAAGGGGGTTGGGCTGGATGACCGCTAGGGTTCCCTTCCAACTCTATACAGTTCTACGATAATTGCACACCCATGTTCTCTAACCACTGGCTGCAGGCTTTCAGAGGGGGAACTGAGGCACTGCAGCAGAGAGGGAGGGGGGATATCTTACGGGCTGCTGGGGAGGGAAACTGAGGCAGGGCCAAGGGAGCTGTTGTGGGGGGCAGACATGAGTTGGTGTGGGTGTCAGAGTCCCTGTTAGTGGAAACACTTTTTTGGGCAGTGGAGAAGGGAGGCAGGGATATGTTTATGTTGCAGGTTTTCAAGCCAGAGGTTGGACGGAGCCCTCTGTCAGGGATGCTTTAGCTGAGATTTTTGCACTGCAAGGGGGCTGGACTGGATGACCCCCCGGGGTCCCTTCCAACTATACAGTTCTGTGGCTCTCGAAATGGAGCTTTTGGAGGGGGATCCCAAGGGAGGGAAACGGGAAATGGAGAACATATTGCCGCCTGAGAGAAACTGAGGCAGGGAAGAAATTGAGGCAGGTTTAAGGAAGGAGAGCCTGGGTCCAGCAAGTTTTGGATGGGCCATGGCAGGTGACTCGCAGAGCTTGAATTATGAAGGGAGAGGAGTCCCTTGATGAAAGCCCCCTGCTATACTCATCTTGAATCATCACAGCTATAGGGGGGTGGGGCTGTCACAAGGCATAAGGTGGACCTCTATCATTTGAGCATTCCTTCGTTTGGCAACCAATGTTGTTGCTGAGGAAGCAGGGTTAATGTTTGGTGGTGATCACGCACGAATATGCACCATATATGCTAATATAAAGCGCCCGTGTGTTGGTATATTGTTCTAGCACCACAGGCCATTGCGCAACGCAGTCTTAAAACTGGCATGTGGGCTGCGTTTTCTGTTAACTTGGCAATGGGGTGCAAGTAAACATCCGGCCAAAATATCAAGAAGGGCATGTTGGCATCTAGTAGACTGCTGTAGGAATGAGGGTGATGGATTGGAAAGACACTATGTTTGGACTTGCAAGGAAGTCAGTGATACGCAGGCTTAAAGGTAAAGGGACATGCTTGGAGAACTGACGCTGTCAAAAATATTGAAAAGGTTAATGTTGGCATTGGGTGCCTTTGTCCCTCCAGATGTTGCCGAATCGCACCTCTCATAATCGGAGGCTGTGTTTTCTGCGTCTGATGGGAGGTGTGGTTCGGCCGTGTCCGTGACTGGGAGCAAAGGTTCCCCACACCTGGAGGGGGTGGAATAGTGATGGAGTAGGACTTGTGGTTTGAGGAGTGATTGGGTCTGCATGGGATCCAAGGAAGGAGGCAGGGAAGGGAACACAGGGAGCAACTGGTGACTTGTAATGAGAGTTGGGTGTGGGAAAGGGGTACTGGTCACCCCTGGGGAATCAGTGGAGTACAGTGGCAATGGGGAGCTTCCAGCCCATCAGCCTAATTAGACCCGCCAATCCTCTCCAGGTCTGTGGGAAGTTAAATAGAAGTGACGAACGTAGTCCTATTGATATCAGTGGGTCTGCTCTGAATTACATGTAATTGGATGCAACCCTAGATGCCTAATAACTTGGGAAACTTTCAGTTCATGTGCATGTTTGATGTTTCCAATGTAATGTTGAATTATTCGTTGTGACACTACATTTTTCAATATTTTAAGACTATTGTGTTTATAGACTGTTTTCGTAAACCTTTTCCGTAAACGCATTCATCAAATGCAGTTTATAATTAAATTGATTGTCTTCCATTGACAGCTATGGAGTGTCAAGATAAATCAGCGGTTCCAGCCCGGAAACTGATACAAGGTAACCCGTTTCATGCAAAAACAAAAAACCCTGACTCATTTTCAGCTAAGGCTATTCTTTCTGCATGGCACAGACTTGCTAAACTCTTTTCCTTCAGGCTTGTTAGATTTCTTTATAATTGTGAAACTATACATAAACCTTTGAACTCAGAATGCTACATTTCCAGGAATGCAATATTTATTTAATCTGAGGGAAAGCAATGGTGTTTTGCTACAATCTTTGCAAAGCAGAAGTTATTCAGTGCCCTGTCATACATTTATTTGGAGTATGATGCTACTTGTTGTATTTGTGGATGGTTACGATTTTTGCAAGAGGAAATATTTTTCTGTCATCTCAGGCCCATCTTGATATGTCGCCACCTTCTTTTCCTGTTTAAAAGATGAGAGTTGCATTTTTTTATTCAGTTTTTGGCTGCATGTTTTATCCCATCCTTGAGCTCAGGGTGGGGTATATGGCTGTATTTGCTCTTATCCACACAACAACTTTATGGGTTGGGTTAGGCTGAAAGTCGCCCAGTGATCTATTTGTGATCTTTGAACCTGGTTCTTCCCAGTCCTAACCTATCGCCTGTACCTGGGATGAGGAACTTGTGTCCCTCCGGGTAGTCCCTTCATCCCTCACCATTGGCCATGCTGGTTGTTGGGCTGATAGAAGCTGAGAGCCCAACAGCATCTGAAGGGACACATGGTGTAGTATGTTTGAACTACACCATGCTGTTGCATGTACGGAGCAGGCTTGTTCCCTGTGGCTCTACAGTCTACAGCATGGGTAGACAAACTAAGGCCCAGGGGCCAGATCCAGCCCAATCACCTTCTAAATCTGGCCCGCGGACGGTCTGGGAATCATCGTGTTTTTACATGAGTAGAATGTGTGCTTTTATTTAAAATGCATCTCTGGGTTATTTGTGGAGCATAGGAATTTGTTCTCCCCCCCCCCCAAAAAAAAGTCTGGCCCCCCCACAAGGTCTGAAGTACAGTGGACTGGCTCCCTGCAGGAAAAGTTTGCTGACCCTTGGTCTACAGGGTAGGGCTAGAGTTAATGAATGAAAATTGCAACAACGTAAAATTTGGCTAAACATCAGGAGGAAATTGTTATTCGTGGTATTAAACATTTGTTGCTTGTTACCAAAGAGGTCTGCAGACAGTTTTGATTTAAAAACATAAACTTCCTAATGGTTAGAGATGTTTGATGTGGGCTGTTCTTCACTGCAACTATTTAAGCAGAGGTTCAGCATCTATCAGGGATGCTGTAATTGCATAGGGGGCTGGGCTAGGTTATCTCCAAGGCCTCTTCCTTCTCACCATCTCCCCCCTTGCAAATAGGTGTTATTTAGTAAGCTTGGGTGCACAGATCCAGCTTTCTAAAATATGTACTTTTATTGGGGGGAAATACATCCATATGTTAGATCACTTGCCTCTTTTTTTATCTTGCCCAAAATTGTAAGATACTGTGCCATTCTTCAGCTTCTTCTTTTTCTCTTCCAGCACGATTGCCTTTCAAGCGTTTGAATCCCATACCAAAGGAGAATCTTGAGGGAAACCCAGGAGTCAAAAGAGGCAGGAACTCTCAGAACGTCTTTGATCAAAACACGCCCTGTCCTGGTTTGTCACATCCGTTACCGGACAATGTGGAGAACAGCTGCCATGAGGAAACCGAGACACAATTTGTTCCAAAACTTATTAATGGCAAGGGCCCGTTAGATAACTTTGTGCAAAAAAGCACAAAAAACAGCACAAGTCAGTTGCCCTTCATAGACTTGACAGAGGATTCCAACCACAGACTGAGTGATACTGACACAGACCACTGCAAATCGAACAAAGTAGCGGCACCTGTAGAGAAAACTCACGAGGAAACGGAAGCCCAATCTGGTCCACAAAAGCCTGTTTGTAATACCCCTGTGGATGTTCTGATGGCAACTTGCCCAGTTACACCAGATGAGGATGAATTATCAGATATGGTGTTGACCAAAACAGAAACCAATAGTACTACAGAGAGCAAACACAGTAATGTCATATTTGAAAGGAAAATGCCCGTCATTGTCCTGGAGGATATCATGACAGCCAGATCTCCACAAGCTTCACCTTTGGAAAGGAGCCTGTCTTCTGGAAATGAGACAATTGAGTCTTGTCCTGGAGAGAACAAGGATTATACAAATTCCTCGTTAAGTTCTGCCTCCCTTACCAGTTCACCTGAATCTCTGCGTGTACAAGGATGCAAGGACAATATTAGTCCGATAGCTGCTTCAACACCTGTTGGAAAGGTATAGTATGTGTTCAGAGGGAAGCAATAAAGATGGTAAATGTTCCTTAGCAAGATCTTATCTTTCCCAGCTTCCTGTTGCTGCCTTATCCACACGCTCATCTCTCAAGTGTCCTCTCTCTGCCCATTTAATTTACTCCAGCTTTGGTGCCTTTACAGTCCTCGTCTGTCGTATCTCCTACGTCAGACATGTCCAACCGGTCGACCGCAATTGACAGGTAGATCCCCGGGGTGTCCCTGGTAGATCATGGAACCATGGTCGATCATGGGCAAGGAATGATTCCACCCCTGGTGCTAGGTTCCTCCATCGGCGCTGCAGCAGCATTGAAAGCCGGGCAAGGTGGAAAGCGAAAGTATCGTATTTTTCGCTCTATAAGACGCACCAGGCCACAAGACGCACCTAGTTTTTGGAGGAGGAAAACAAGAAAAAAAAAAAATTCTGAATCTCAGAAGCCAGAACAGCAAGAGGGATCGCTGCGCAGTGAAAGCAGCGATCCCTCTTGCTGTTCTGGCTTCCGGGATAGCTGCGCAGCCTGTGTTCGCTCCGTAAGATGCACACACATTTCCCCTTACTTTTTAGGAGGGAAAAAGTGAGTCTTATAGAGCAAAAAATACGGTAATCTTTTCTTTAGTGCTGCATGCGCTTTAGTGCTGGAGTTTTGGCTGAGCGCCCCCCCCCGCCAAAAAAGCTAAAAGAGTCGGGTCAATTCCCCCCCCCCAATCAACAACTCTTGGCAATCCTCCCCCAAAAAACCGCACGCTTCTCCCTCCCTCCAATGACAATGGATAGATCACTGCCTGTTTCTTTTGTACTGGGAGTAGATCACAGTCTCTTGGGAGTTGGACGTGCCTGTCATACGTCTTTCCCTATCAGGTTCTCCCTCAGGAGTTCAGCTTCAGACACTGGTTTCCACATTGTACAGTGACTTCTAAAAGCTATGTTACATACCGTATTTTTCGCCCTATAGGACGCACCTAGTTTTTTTTGGGGGGGGGGAATAAAGAAAAAAAATTATTTCCCCCCCAGGCACGGGGCTGGCGCAGGGGAAGCCCGAGCTTCCCCCGACCCCAGCCGCAGAACAGCCTGCTATCCGCAAGCCTAGGGAGCCGCGCCAGTCTCCCTAGGCTTGCGGACAGCTGTGCGGAGCCCGGGAGCTTCAGCGCGCCCGAGGCTTAGGAATGCAGGCAGCTCTGCGCAACCCTCCGGAGCCCGGTGCGGCTTGGCACCAGGCTCCCGAGGGTCGCACGGAGCTGCGCGGAGCCCAGGAAGGCATGCAGCTCTGCGCGACCCTCCGGAGCGCGGCTTGGCGCCGGGCTCCGGAGGGTTGCGCAGAGCTTCCTGAAGCCTGGAGAGCGAGAGCCTCTCGCTCTCCAGGCTTCAGCGAAAGCCTGTATTCGCCCCATAGGACGCACCCACATTTCCCCTTCATTTTTGGAGGGGAAAAATGTGTCCTATAGGGCGAAAAATACAGTACTTCTCTTTTTTTGTCAGTGGGTTGGGGTTTTTTGGGGGGGGAGGGGGGATACTTGCATCCTGAGCAGTTAGAATCTTCTATGTATATTTTGTTCTAGGAGGCTTAGGTTTGGCCAGAATCAAGTATATACACTTCCAGAGTTAACACTAAGTACATTACTTCTGGTAAATGAGTCACCATCGCTGCCAGAGGGCCATGGACAGTTTGTCCCAGGGTTTTTAGATTCTTAATTCCAGGGTCCTGGGTTCAAGCCCCAGGTTGGGTGAAAGATTCCTCCATTTCCTCGTAGTCCCTTCCGGCTCTACAGTTCTATGATGTTGTAAAGTCATGTCTACTAAGGACCTGACTTAGGGAGCAAGCGTGTGAATGCCTAGCTCACTACTAAGCATACAAAAGCAAGAAAGACATCCCACTAAAGCATGAAATATGCCATGCTCTAAATGTAGGGATGCAGGTGGCGCTGTGGGTTAAACCACAGAGCCTAGGACTTGCTGATCAAAAGGTCGGCGGTTCAAATCCCTGCGACGGGGTGAGCTCCTGTTGCTCGGTCCCTGCTCCTGCCAACCTAGCAGTTCGAAAGCACGTCAAAGTGCAAGTAGATAAATAGGTACCGCTCCGGTGGGAAGGTAAACTGTGTTTCCGTGCGCTGCTCTGGTTCACCAGAGGCGGCTTAGTCATGCTGGCCACATGACCCGGAAGCTGTACGCCGGCTCCCTGGGCCAATAAAACGAGATGAGCGCCGCAACCCCAGAGTCGGCCACGACTGGACCTAGTGGCCAGGGGTCCCTTTACCCATTAAACTTTTCATTGCTATCTTCCTCTCCTTAAAAGTGAAACTTGTGGGCAGACTTCTTACTTTAGCCGCCAATTGTGGTACCTTGGTTTAAGAACAGCTTAGTTTATGAACAACTTGGATTAAGAACGCTGCAATCCCGGAAGCAGGTGTTTTGGTTTGTGAACTTTGCCTTGGAAGCAGAACCTGTTGAGTGTGTTCCATTTGTAAATTGAGTCCCCCACTGCTATGGGAAAGCACACCTTGGTTTAAGAACGCTTTGGTTTAAGAACGAACTTCCAGAATGGATAAAGTTGGTAAACCAAGGTACCACTGTACTGTACATTTGCTCCATGGGAGTGGTAACTGACTAACCTTAGCTTAGCTTAAAGTTACTGTATCCTTGATTCTGAACAAGAACATACAATGTTTCTGATTTCGCATGGTGGTGCCCCCTGATCAGAATCAGGGGGAAGGTCTGGTTAAAGAAAGTAAAAAAATGGAGGCGTCTCTCCTCACCCGAGCACACTTTTTTTAAAAAGGTACAACTTCAGATGATTAGGTAACATTCACCTGCAGGCTCTCAGAACTAAAGATCACTAGAACAGGGAAATATTTGGGTTTTAAGTTGCTATTAGAATGTGGCTTAAGTGATTGATTGGTAGCATAGGTTGGGAATTAGAGTCTGCTGGCTGAGATACAAAGTGGAAATCTAAGTCTTGCAAGGAGTGGCATGTTCTAAATATATTTAACACTCACTCTAGTGGATCTTCTTTTTGACTGGTTGGAATTTTGGCCACCACGTGTTATAGGCTGGAAATAAGTCATCTGAGTGCCAAACCCTTCAAAAAGAACTGTTGGTGTGACAGGAACTGTCTCCTCTCGGGCACAGTAGCAATGAAATGGGATGGAGGGGATGGTCTCCTATGCATAGTCAGCTAATTTGCACTGGAAAAAGTTCAGCTTTTATTGGAAAGCTTTCTGGCGCCCAACAGAGTGATCTAATTTAGCATGCTTATTTGTGCCTAATAAAGTTACGTTAGAAACTGCCAGGCATACCCAAGGTGGATAAAAATTAATGATTAAAAAAAAGCAGATTTTTTTTATTTAATTTGGATTTTTTGATTTAATACAGATTTTTTTTTAATTTAAATTGGATTTTTAAAATAAAATGATTTTGGAGGGGAAATCTCTCTAAATATAGTTTTCTATTTAAGTTACATTATAGTCCACAGGCTATTCATCAGGAAATAAGAATTTGTTTTCAGTTTTTCATGTCTGCTCAGTTTTTGTTTTGTTTTTTTAAAAAAACCGTTTAACCACATCAGTTAACAAACATGGATACATATGCTATAATGTTATTGTTTTAGTTAAATAAATTGATATTAAGGGGGGGGGGGAAATTCCCCTTCCAATAAAGTACATCAGAAAATTGTGCAAATATAACTTGCTGATGTTAACTTATTAAACCACACAATAATTTCATAATTGTCTGCCTATGTATTTATAATAGTATAACCAAATCAGAAATTTTTGATAGAATTGTAAAAACTACTCTGAATATTTATTATTCCAAAAATGAAACCTTCATCTGGTTGTAAATATTAAGATTATACTAGCAAGATTGAGTCTTTCGGTAAAAAAATAATGATTTAAATCAAGTCTTACTGACTAGTGATTTAAATCGTGATTTAAATCAAATCCACCCTGGGCGTACCTAATGCTGTATTTGTGATTGGCATCCATTCGTTGTTACTAAAGATCCTGTAAAATGGAAAAAAAAATGCTGCAGAAAAATAAAACCCTGGGAAATGTTTCACCCCGCATGAAACGTGGGTGTTCGCTGTGACATATATAGCGGGGGGGGGGGGCCTTCAGCAGACTTCCAAGTGTGTTTTGGCCTACAGAGCAGTGGAGATGTGGTTAATGTCCCATGTAGAGAGATGTAAAGGCCTGAAAAAAGAAACCAACCCAAGAAAAGTGAGGTGGGGGAGATATAGCAATTCAGATATAATCGAGCGGCTCCAGAATACACCCCCCTCCCCGGTATTGCTTAATTTTAGGTCAGGGAAGGATGGCATTTTAGAGAAACACCGGATAATGTTTAAACAGAAGAATCTGGGGCACACTTTGATTCTGATCACCTCTTTTTATTGTTCTGGGGAAATACGTGTGCAGTGCAAGGTGTGAGTTGTCTGCTGCTGCTGCTTAGATGAGGCACGGTTTCTTCCCAGGCCCTACTGAAATTTAATGGGAGGCACTGACGTTTTTTGGGGGGTGCCGGCATTTTGTATTGATGAAAGTGCTGGGGGTGTCGGCACACAGTGGCTTTCATATGCAGCAAAAAAGAGGAGTGTGTATACTGGCGCTCTATTCCGGTGAGTGCTGTCGCAGAAGTCCTGATTCTAATATATTGGGAGCTGAACTGCAGCCGTCTGACATTCCGTAACCTATAAGGCTTGTCTGCTGAAGTGGCTTTAACTGTTAAATTCCACAGTCCTTGCATATGCCTGTTCTTTCAGTGCCCCTCAGGAAAGGGCCATAACTCATTGGTAGAACATCCTGCTTTATGTGCAGAAGGTCCCATGTTCAATCCCTGGTGCTTCCGGGTAGGGCTGGGAGATGTTCCCCTGCAGCTCGTTTCTCCCTTTCACCCCAAGTTCGTGCTTCTTCAAAGTCCATGACGCCTTTGGTAGAGGCTCTGAGTATTACCATGCAAAAAGAGGGTAAATCTCTCCCAAAAAGCCATATACATAACATAACATGCAGAGCATGCATTTGAAGCACATGGCTTTCCCCAAAGAATCCTGGGAGTGATAGTTTGTTGAGGGTGCTGGGAATTGTAGCTCTGTGGGGGTAAACAATGGTTCCCAGGATTCTTTGGGGAAAGCAATGCTCTTTAAATGTGTGGTGCGTACACAGCCTAAAATGCAATGCAGTAGGTTTATCAGCTGTGCTTTCTCATTACCGAAACACTCAGAGTAACATAATCACACACAATGAGTGTCATAGTAAATTAGGTGGGCCAGATTTGCCATCTTTTGTATCTTACTCCATCCCATCTTGAAAGTATACAGTGGACGTTCGGGTTGCGAACGTGATCCGTGCGGGAGGCACATTCGCAACCCGCAGCATTCGCAGCCCCGCACCTGCGCATCTGCAGGTTGCGATTCAGCGTTTCTGCGCATGCGCAAAGTGCGATTTAGCGCTTCTGTGCATGCGCAACCGCCAGAACCTGGAAGTAACCCGTTCCGGTACTTCTGGGTTTCAGCTCGTCCATAACCCCCAAAAAAAACGCAACCTGAAGTGTCTATAACCCGAGGTATGACTTTATTTTGGAAGATAATTTGAGTGAGTTTGTGTGTGTGTGTGTGTGTGTGTGTTTCATAACAATCAATTTATGCAAGAGCTGCTTCTCAGCTTTTACTTTCAGCTGCTGGAAAGTGGAACAGGTTTTGACCAATGAAGATTTAATGTACATAAGTATTCATGCCCATTAATTTGAATGGATCTCTTCTGAGTATGACTATTGCTGAATACAACCCAAGGTTTGTCTGTATTGAAGAGAGCTTTTTAGCTCGCATTAGGTGGTTGCTCTCTGTGTGTGATTTCACACGAGGGAGGAGGCCAGGGCAAGCAGGAACCAAGAGGAGTTTGGAAGGGAGACCATGTAGCACAAATGTCTTCCATTACAGGATGTTTCGCGCTCCTGGGTCAAAAGCCTGAAGACGTTCTGTGCAACATTTTGGAAACTGCTGTATCCAGTGTTAGCCATAATTGGAGTACAATCGTACCTTGGAAGTCGAATGGAATCCGTTCCGGAAGTCCGTTCGACTTCCAAAACGTTCAGAAACCAAAGTGTGGCTTCTGATTGGCTGCAGGAAGTTCCTGCAGCCAATTGGAAGCCGTGCCAGATGTTCGACTTCCAAAAATCATTTGAAAACTGGAACACTCACTTCCAGTTTTAGATCGTTCGGGAGCCGAAATGTACGAGTTCCAGGGCGTTCAGCAGCCAAGGTACGACTATACGTTCCTAAATTAGCAATGTCAATTTCAGTGTTGTACTCTAGTCTCGACAAACATTGGATACTCCCTGGATATCTAACATCCAATACTCCAGTCAAATGTAGTAGCAATGCTCAACTGCTTCCTTTTTCAGTCTTGGACCAAGGATGAGGTATCAGCAGGCTTGAAGAAACTCCCAAGTTTTACAGAAGTACAAATTGGGGGGGGGGGGAGAACTTAGTGAGGACTGAAGATGCTCGTGAGGGTGGGATAGTAATAATAGAGTATTCTGGAAAAGTGCCTTGTAGGTATTCCGCACTGCTACCCTGAACTCCTTTGGCTGAAAAGTCAGGATATAAATTCTATAAATAAATACTGGATGATTACATAGTGCAGCATTTTATTGCAGGTTCCACCTGTGAAACCTTTTCGAATTTGTTTTTTTAATCCTGGCTTAGAGCTGCACCCTTCTTCCGGCACCCAAAGCTTCCCCAAGTTTTATTAAAGGAGGAATTCAGATTTTTACATAATAAGAAAACAAATCTGTTGACCGCTAGTCCCACGGGACTCTTCGTTTCTGTTGCTTTAAAGGGGTGTAAATAACGCATGCTCGTCTCTGTCCTCTCAATTCCAGGCACCGCAGAAAATTCACCGGAGTTCTGAGGAGAAGGAGAAGCTAAAGCTGCAGAGGGTAAAGTGGTGTTTTCCCCCCTATTGACCTAGAAACCTTATTTGTTCACTTTTGGTAATGAGCGGAGAGCACATCCCTTTTCCGGTTTCCTGACCTCTGCTGAAGGTCCAAGCCACCACTGGCATGTGGACCCCGAAGGTTGCCCTCTGGCTGAAAAAGTTCCCCCACCCCTGTTCAGATTGACTTGCTGCTTTTTAAAGTTTTGCGCTGTGGGCCTTTTTGTTTTCTGTGCCCTTGCTTCAAGCGTTATTCTTTTCTCTCTACAAGCAATGCCAGGATTCAAGAAGCTATAGATGAAGTGAGTAGGAGGGTGCGGGAACTTTAGCTCGAGTACAGAAAGGAGGTGCTGCTTTGTCTGTTTGTTTTGAAGCATTTTTACCCTACCCTTCAGGCTTCCAGAGCAGCTTAGTTACCAGTAACATGGCAGCCCTGCCCTCAGGCTTAGGCAAAGGTAAAGGGACCCCTGACCATTAGGTCCAGTCGTGACCGACTCTGGGGTTGCGGCACTCATCTCGCTTTATTGGCTGAGGGAGCCGGCGTTTGTCCGCAGACAGCTTCCGGGTCATGTGACCAGCATGACTAAGCCGCTTCTGGCGAACCAGAGCAGCGCACGGAAACGCTGTTTACCTTCCTGCCGGAGCGGTACCTATTTATCTACTTGCACTTTGACGTGCTTTCGAACTGCTAGGTTGGCAGGAGCAGGGACCGAGCAACGGGAGCTCACCCCGTCGCGGGGATTCGAACCGCCGACCTTCTGATCGGCAAGTCCTAGGCTCTTTGGTTTAACCCACAGCGCCACCCGCGTCCCACCCTCAGGCTTAGACACAAGGAAAAGGGGATCAGGAGGGAGAAGGGGCAGGAGAAGCAAACTTTGGTGCTTTGGTCAACTGGAATGGTAACAGCTTAGGGAGAGGGAGAGGTTAACGTTGCTGGTCCCTCAGCAGCACTGGTGGAGTCTGCCTGCTTCCCTTCTCTCCCTCTGTCCTGCCACCTGGTGGACTGGCCTCCTGGTACCAGTGGATGAAGGTGAGAAGCTTGATGGAACAAATGGCTTCTCACCAGAAATGGAGCCTGACTGAGCAGCTTCTTGGCACCTGCGATTAGACTTTCGTGGGGCATTGGTGGAGAGTTGCCTAAAGAGCTCTTCTGTTTGGGGGCGTCTGTTGTCGTTTCTCGCAACCCAGGATCAGGAACGTGCAGAGAAGCTTCAAAAGCAGCAAGCTGAGCGGGAGGAGAAGGGGAGGCTGAAGGAGGAGGCGAAGGCTGCAAAAGAACGCGCCCGGGAGGAGGCGAAGAGGAAGAAGGAAGAAGAAAAAGAGTTGAAGGATAAGGAAAGGAGGGAGAAAAGGGAGAAAGATGAGAAAGAGAAGGCTGAGAAGCTGCGGGCGAAAGAGGAAAAACGGAAAGAGAAGCAGGAAGCTCTGGAGTAAGTTGTCCTCTCTGGTGGGGTTTGTTTTTACGTGTGACTCATGCTTGAACATGTGTGCATGGTTGCTTGGTTTTTCCCCCACCCTCCCTGAAATTAAGCTTTTGTTTTAAAGGGCAAAGCAAGAAGAGAAAAGGAAGAGAGAAGAGGAGAAACGGTTGAAAGAGGAAGAAAAGGTAAGGGGAGTTTTGTCTCGCTCAGCCTTCACGTGCCCTCCAGTTGGACTCCAGTTCCCATCAGCCCCAGCCAGCGTACAGTGGGACTGGTAGTCCACCATAATCTGGAGAGGACCTAGTTGGGAAAGTGGTCTAGCTGAAGGGAAGCACACTCTGGCCTCTGCCATTGGCTGGGTGCTGAGGACTTGGAGGAGGCTGCCTTCCTTGATTTCCTTCCTTCCTTGCCTGGCATGCTCTGGTCCATGGGGTCACAAAGAGTCGGACAAGACTAAACAACAACAACGCCTTCCTTGCTTCCCAGCAAAAACATCCTGGTGAGGGGAAGGCTAGCCTAGCCCATCTGTTAGTAAATCCTGGGCTGCTTCTGCCAGTCAGTGTAGACAATACTGAGCCTGGTGGACTACAAGGGTCTGGCTTATTCAGCTTCTTATGTTTTTATGAATTGCGTTGTTATCAGTAGGTGGCTGGGGCCAGAATTCACAGTGGTGTTTTTAATTATTCAGAGCGAGGGGGGATGCTTTTGCAGAAATGCTTTTAAATAATCCAAATCGTTTGCGTTTCATTTTGTCCATATTTCCATCTCTAGCGTATCAAAGCAGAGAAGGCAGAGATCACCAGGTTCTTCCAAAAGCCCAAAACCCAGCCTGCTCCAAAGGTGAGTTTTGTTTTACTGTTTGTCTGCCTTTGTCTGGCTCTCCTGCAATGCCATTTAAATCCATGCAAGATTTCCAGGGCAATGGAAATTGCCTTCAAGGTGGCCAACACACTTCACATTTTAAACGCTGTGTTGTACATGCACAAAAACCCCTGAACTATGTATGTCTTTTTTATTTAAAATATGTTTACTTCACCTTTCTATCAGATCAAAAGTAGAATACAAACACAAAACCCTGATTTTTAGATCTATTGCTCTACTCACCCTCAAGGAATATAACCCGTGTGCTACAGACAAATATGAAGTGCTGCTAGTAATTTTTTTAAATGCATAATTTAAAAACTCTTACCCAACACTCTGCCACCTCTATGCCCATCACCAAAAGCTAGCCAATAAAGATGATTCCATGTGTTGATTCTAAAATAAGCTGGGAGGTGTGGCTCCACAAGAAGTGGGCTTCTTATATTGTTGAAGAAGCTACTGGGTGTACCTTCTCCGCTTGCCTTTCTGAGAGTTTTTTAGGCCTGGGGTTGGGGAACCTGTGGTTCTAAGGACTTTGCTGGACTCTGCTCCCATCATCTTTTATGCTGGAATAAGGCTACAGGTTCCCCAGCCCTGCTTTAGCTAGTTGTGGAGATCAAAAAAGGTCAGAAAGCATAGCTGACCCATGGCTTGCAGAGGCCTTAAGAAGAGTTTGGATTTGATATCCCGCTTTATCACTACCTGAAGGAGTCTCAAAGCGGCTAACATTCTCCTTTCCCTTCCTCCCCCACAAGAAACACTCTGTGAGGTGAGTGAGGCTGAGAGACTTCAGAGAAGTGGGACTAGCCCAAGGTCACCCAGCAGCTGCATGTGGAGGAGCGGAGACGCGAACCTGGTTCCCCAGATTACAAGTCCACCGCTCTAAACCACTACAACACACTGGCTCTCTAAGTGAATTTCAAGTAGCACCAGGAAGGGAGGGAATAGATGGTGGCAAAAATTGGTACCTGGATTAAGAAGCAAATCTTGGCCCTAACCAGAGAGGAGGCATCATTTTTGGTCTTCTTCAGGCAGCAAAAGGGACCATCACATCAAAGTAGCCATATGTATCTAGTATCCACATGTTTTTCAGGCTTTATTGGTCAAAACATGAATTATGCCCAGGAGAGAATAGGAAGCTGGTGCTGGTAGTAAGGTAGTTGGGAGGGGGGGATGGAGAGAGACCAAGAGCTTGTGTATAACATTTTCCTCCTGATTTCAGATTCTGGCTGGCTGGTGTGGCAGATTTGCTCCATTTGAGATCAAGGAGAACATGGTCCTCGCGCCAATCTGCCGAGTTGCGGTCGATCAGGACCTCATGGACCAGTTAGACTGGCTGCTGCAAGCTCAGAGCTACAGTGCTTCTTTCTTGGAAGAACTGAAAAGCAGAGATCCCTGTAAAACTGGACCCACCCTTGTCAGCAGCCCGAATGCTGATGCATTCAACAGGTTAGTTTTCTTGGTATTGTGAGCTTTTGAGCTACGCTACTCGTAGAAGGCCGCTCACTGCTACTGCCTTAATCTGCGGCACTTCCTCTCAAACCCTCCTCAGCAGGGCACATGGCATTCTACAACGTCCGACGTTGGCTCATTGCCTCCCACCATGTTCTCCACCCCGGCATCATCAGATAGAGGGAATTATGAGAGTTAGAAACCTAAAAGAAGGAAAAGTTTTCCTTCATTTCTTTCATTTGGTTTAACTTGGTTTAGTTTAAAGGTAAAGGGACCCCTGACCGTTAGGTCCAGTCGCGGACGACTCTGGGGTTGTGGTGCTCATCTCGCTTTACTGGCCAAGGGAGCCGGCGTACAATTTCCAGGTCATGTAGCCAGCATGACTAAGCCGTTTTTGGCGAACCAGAGCAGCGCACGGAAATGCTGTTTACCTTCCCGCCGGAGCGGTACCTATTTATCTACTTGCACTTTGATGTGCTTTCAAACTACTAGGTTGGCAGGAGCAGGGACCGAGCAATGGGAACTCACCCCGTCGCGGGGATTCGAACCGCCGACCTTCTGATCAGCAAGCCCAAGAGGCTCAGTGGTTTAAGTAAAGACCTTTATTGGGGGGCAGCAGCCCCTTTTCTTGTTAGTCCAGTGTTGCCGTCTTAGCATTGCTTCTATATAAAAAAAATCCTTTTCAGTGGAAAGCAGGGATAAAGGAGTCTTTCACGGCGTCAGTCAACTGCCGGTGGTCTTTCTCTCACTGTCTTGGAACCCCGGTGGGCAGAATACCCGTGACTGATTGCAGCATTTTCCTTTCAACAGTGACGTCGTCATTGTGGGCAGCAGCCAAGCAGGAGATGTGCCGGAGAGGAAGAAGTTCGGTAGGATGAAGCTGCTGCAGTTCTGTGAGAATCACCGCCCTGCCTACTGGGGCACGTGGAACAAGAAATCCTCAGCCATACGCCCAAGAAACCCTTGGTCAAAAGAGGAGGTCAGCACGTGATACTGCATCCACCTCTTGTTTCAGCTGAAGTAACTCAGCGGCAAGCCCTAAGGCAGCTAAGCAGAGAAGTCCAGGTTTAAGTCGCCAATATATAAGGCTGTGGTTGCCACCATGCCTGCAGCTGTGGGGTATATATGAAATTGCATCCGATTATAATCTCTGGAATATCCAGTTTATTGGCTCTTGGGCTGGGAAAACAGCCTCTCTTCTTGAGACCATGGGCAAGGGCCGTAGCTCAGCCGTAAGAGCCCCTCTTCTATATGCAGAGGGCTGTGCAATCCTCGGCACCTCCAGGTACAGAATCATAGACTTGTAGGGCCAGAAGGGAGCCCAAGGGTTGCCATCTACTCCGGCCCCTGCAAGGGAGGACTTGCAGCTAAAGAATCCCCGATCCATAGAAAGTAGGACTGGGGAAATGCTGGTGAGCCGCTGCCAGGCAGTTCTGATGTTACTGACATATGATGAATCCAATGGCCTGACATGGTATAAGGCAGCTTTCTGTGTGGTTTAGTGCATCTCGGTGGCTTTTATTTTCTGTCTGCTTGGCAGTGGGCTTTGTAAGTTCCCTTCTCCCTCCATTAAGCAACAGACTATGAGCTGCAACTGAGGTTTCCGGTGCTGCAGTGTGAAGGAAAACCACCCTCTCTGCTCTTTATATTGTTCCCTGGGGAGCAAAGAGGATGATCCCCTCACTCTCTGTCCTGTATTGTAGATCCCTCTCCTCCCAGCCCAGCAGCACAGTGTTGCTAGAATCTAGCCCAGGGGTCAGCAACCTAAGGCCCATGGGCCGGAAGCGGCCCGCGGTGGTCATTTGACCGGCTCACGAGCTGCTCCCAAACCGAGTTGCCTGTTCACGTGCTGCGCCAAGCCAGCACAGTGTGGGGACTCGCTTCCGCGGCACCAGAAATCGCGTCTGTGCATGCTCAGATGCCAGAAATCGCAGGTGCGATCCGGCCCACAGAGGGATCTCCATGGGACCGATCTGGCCCAGGCGAGATAAACCTTGCTGACCCCCGATCTAGCCTCTTGTTCCTTCTCCAAAATCCTATGTACAGCCTGCAGTACTTCTCGAGGCAGAATGGTTTTTCAGTACAGTATTGCATTTTTTGTTTCCTCCTTTCCTCTGCAGAAACTTCTGGACTATGAAGTGGAGAGTGACGAAGAATGGGAGGAGGAGGAGCCTGGGGAGTCTCTCTCTCACAGCGAAGGGGTAAGGACGAATGGCCACCTTCTGCCTGCAAGCAGGAGACTTCTTTGTCAAAGGAACCAGGGTTCCGGGTGTAATAGAGACAAGCAGGATCACCTGCAGGAAAATGTTGCAGTGTGGGTTGCAACCAGCCATGCCATCTTCTGGGGCCAGCAGTTGTTCCGTGTTCTGTGGCCACACTGAGCATGCTCAGTCCTCATTGGGCCGGCTTTTCGGGAGGGAGGAGGCTCATGATGTCAGAGCAACAAGCCAATGCGTGGATCTTCCCCACCAAAGTTCCAGCAGCACTGGTTATTTATAGAACCTTTATGCATGGAGGGATAAGTTGCCTCTTGTGTTGCGGAGTGTAACAGCAACTTCCACCACTTGTTGTTTTTGTTTTAACTATATATTTGTGCTTTTACCTTGTGAAGTGTCCTGATACCTTATGATGAAGGGTGGCATATAAATCTTAATCATCATAGTAATAATAATTGCAGTGATACCTTTCTGAACAAGGACAGAGCTGCAGATGCACGCAAGTTTGATTATTTTTATTATATGTTTGAAAATACTTACATGCCATTTTGCAAACCTCGATATGTGGAGTTGCAACTGACCTGACGTTACTGACCTTTCAGTGAGTCTTAAAAGCAGAAATGCTTAGAGTAGGGTATGTTTTAGGGGTAAAGGTTTTAAATATATTTAGCTGTCTTTAAATACATCCATAGTGCCATGCCTTGTTTTTTCGGACAGTTCGTGCTGAGGTTAAGGCTGTGGGTTAGGGCCCAGCCAGTGTGGTGCCCTGCCAACGGGCTTGGGGTTCCTGGACCTCAGCTCCCATCATCCCCAGCCAGCACAGGCCAATGGTTGGGCATGTTGTTGTCCAGACAGGGTTCAACACGCATGGATCAAATCCTCATTCAGCTGCATCGAGCTCGGTGGGTGACTTTGGGGTCCAGTCCCTGGCCCTTAGCCTAATCCTACCTCCTCAGGATAAACTAGGGAGGAGGAGAGGTGGGGTGTAAATTGAGCAAGTGAACACCTGGAGGTTGCCTTACCTGACCCATACTGCAGCTTTTACACTGGCTGATTTTTGTCATGTGTTAAATGCATTCTTTGTCCTGTTATGTGGTTCATGAGAAAGGCTTTGGGCATGAATCCAAGGAACCCAAAGGAAAAATCAGTGCCCACTGCCTTTGGGAGAAGAAAAGGTTAAGGAATAAACCTTACACAATTCCAGAGTGGAGTCCCTATGGATGGCACCTTGTACTCCTCCTTCTGGCAACTCCTGCTGCCAAGCTAGTGCCAAACGTCTTGCTTTGCTTTCCATTGGACCACATCAGGAAGTCCAGGAGGGGGGGTCTTGTCGTCTGCGCAGCCCAGGACCTCCAAATATACTGCCCAGGCTTGCACCATGGAGATACTCTAGCTTGCCTTGTTTGTGTGTGTAGCTATTCCATCGCACCAGAAGCGATTTAGTCCTGCTGGCCACATGACCCGGAAAGTTTCCTGTGGACAAATGCTGGCTCCCTCGGCCTGAAAGCGAGATGAGCGCCACAACCCCATAGTCACCTTTGAGTGGACTTAACCATCCAGGGGTCCTTTACCTTTACCTTTTTTAGATATAACAGTGGTACCTCAGGTTAAGAACTTAATTCGTTCTGGAGGTCCGTTCTTAACCTGAAACTGTTGTTAACCTGAGGTACCACTTTAGCTAATGGGGCCTCCCGCTGCTGCCGCCGCCGCACGATTTCTGTTCTTATTCTGAAGCAAAGTTCTTGTACTATTTCTGGGTTAGTGGAGTGTGTAACCTGAAGTGTCTGTAACCCGAGGTACCACTGTACTGAAACACTCAGAGTAACATAATCATACCCAATAAGTGCCATAGTAAATTAGGTGGACAAGATTAGCCAATTTTTGTATCTTACTCCATCCCCTTTCCAAGTTTTCTTGACGTCTACTTTTAAATCTTTCAGGATGATGATGATGAGGGTGGAGAGGAGGAAGACGATGACGACGGCTTCTTTGTGCCCCATGGGTACCTCTCAGAGGATGAAGGTGTGACTGAAGTAAGCCACAGAATTCCAGGGCACCTTACGACAAGACTGAACTGCCTTGGGAATAAATTTGCAAACAGTTACTTGTGTAGGGTAACTTGATCTACCCAGCTTGGCAGTGATGCAGTAGTCCCTGCGGCACCAATAACTTGCCGGTTATAATCTGTACAAAAATCTCCACTTATAAGTTTTAGAATTCAAAGCACTAATCTCATATTAGCTAGCTAAGCTGGGAAGTAGGTGGGATGTACAGCCAGGGGGGCCACCTTCCCTCTTGACCAACCATCCGAGCAGTCGCTTCCAGGTTTGCGGCATTCGGGAGCCAAAACATTCGAGAACTAAGCTGTTCAAAAACCAAGGTACGACTGTAATAGAAAAGAACTTAACGGGGGGGGATGGCACCTAGACCTTCTATTGTGGCAAGTGTAACCTAGGTTTAAGGCGCTATTTAGTGATTAGATTATATATCTGAGTTTCTAACCCTGGCACTGATACAAACGCGTCGGATGTTCGGGTTCCAAAGAACATTCGCAAACTGGAACACTCAGTTCTGGGTTTGCGGCATTCGGGAGCCAAAACGTTTGACTCGCAAGGCGTTCGACTTCTGAGGTACGACTGTACTTCAGTAGTAAAGTGACCAAACCTTTCTCTTTAGTTATGCAAACACCCAACCTTTTGAGCCGTTCTCCTTCTTCATCAGAGTAATGCTTTTCTTTCCCTTCCAGGAATGTGACCCCGAGAATTACAAAGCTCGCCAGAAGCTGAAAGCGAAGGAGTGGGACGAGCTGATCACCAAGGGGAAGAGATTCCGCGTCCTTCAGCCTGTGAAGATCGGCTGCATTTGGGAAGGCAAGGAAAACAGCGACGCAGATCTGAGGCCCCTGCAACAGTTCACAGTTTCTATCCTGGACTCAACGATTGCTGATGAAGATCCGTTAGAAAAAAGCAGCAAAAAGAAAACGAAAGACCAGCAAAGTAAGCCGCAGGCAGGAAGAGTAAACAGCTCTGCCTCTTCCACAGAGAAAGGGTGGCTTCGGCTAAAGGTGTTACGATGCTGTAAGGAAAGGTTTATGGCAGGGGTGGCCAACTCCCAAGAGACTGCGATCTACTCACAGAGTTAAAGACTGGCAGTGATCTACCCCCTTCAGGTCAAAGTTGTTGAGCTTTTTTTAGGGGAGTCAAACTTCTTGACAAGCATCCAGTGATCACAATCTACCTGTTGGGTGCACCTGGTTTATGGGAGTGGCTGGCTTGTCTGTTGGAGAAATTTGTAAAACCAGGGTTCCCCAAAGGAACGCAGATAGACTCAGGCATTAAGTGAAAAACAGGCCTTTATTAATGTTCCTGTAGGAAACAGTAGAATTTCTGGGCTTGTTACACAAACCCTTTCCTAACAAAGGGTTTTCTGGGGACACATCCCAGTACGTTTCCAAGTACAATTCAAAAGTCTTGGTGCTGACCTTTAAAGCCCTAAACAGCCTCGGCCCAGTATCCCTGAAGGAGCGCCTCCACCCGCATCGTCGGACACTGAGGTCCAGCACGGAGGGCCTTCTGGCTGTTCCCACACTGCTAGAAGTGAGGTTACAGGGAACCAGGCAGAGGGCCTTCCTGGTGGTGGCGCCCTCCCTGTGGAATGCCCCCCCCCATCAGATGTCAAGGAAATACACAACTATCTGACTTTTAGAAGACACCTGAAGGCAGCCCTGTTTAGGGAAGTTTTTACCATTTTTTAGGTGCTGTAAGCCGCCCAGAGTGACTGGGGAAAGCCAGCCGGATGGGCGGGGTGTAAATAATAAATTATTAATTAATTATTCGGAAATTATTTTGGGAAGGGGAGGGGGCTGGCCTGAAGCTGACAGCTGGACAATCTCTTGATGACTTGACTGCCGTCCTCCATCTGTACGAAACAGCATCCTAATACCCCTTTTCTTCTTTTCGCCATGCTCCAGTCTTGGGACAGCTGCTTCCCCTGCTTCACGGGAATGTTAACGGAAGCAAGGTCATCATCCAAGAGTTCCAGGAGTGCTGCCGCATGGGGGTCCTGCAGGGCAACAACTCCACCTCTGCTTTGGAGAGCGGGGATGCCAGCCCCACAAGCCCCAACGCTTCCTGGGCCCAGGCCTCCGCCCACGACGGCTCCGCCATCCCTTCCAAAGCCAGGCTAAAACGGATCATCTCCGAGAACTCCGTCTACGAGAAGAGGCCCGACCACCGGATGTGTTGGTACGTGCACCCCGAGGTACTGAAGAGCTACGGCCAAGAGAATTTGCCCGTCCCTTGCCAGTGGAACTACGTCACCCAAGTGTCCTCGGCGGGCAAGGAGGATGCCAGCAGCAGTTTGCCGGGAGGGGCAGCGATACAGACCACCCCGGTCTCTGCGAAACGGAAGTCGACAGGAAGCATGTCTATCACCAAGTTCATGAAGAGGCCTTTTGGCACCGGACAGGTGAGGTTCCTTTCAGGCACTCCGTTTTCTGCCTAGACTAGTACGGCCGCGCTCCCCAGGCCTTTAGCAACCTGCTGCAGAGGGCCCTTAACTTTAAGCGTAGCATCGTTGAATTCTGTGAATCCTGCCTCTTTCCTGCGTTTCTAGGTTCTTGTGGCCTTGTTGTTGTTGTTTAGTCGTGTCCGACTCTTTGTGACCCCCTGGACCAGAGCACGCCAGGCACTCCTGTCTTCCACTGCCTCCCGCAGTTTGGCCAAACTCATGCTGGTCGCTTCGAGAACACTGTCCCTCCATCTCGTCCTCTGTCGTCCCCTTCTCCTTGTGCCCTCCATCTTTCCCAACATCAGGGTCTTTTCCCGGGAGGCTTCTCTTCTCATGAGGTGGCCAAAGTCTTGGAGCCTCAGCTTCAGGATCTGTCTTTCCAGTGAGCACTCAGGGCTGATTTCCTTCAGAATGGAGAGGTTTGAACTTCTTGCAGTCCATGGGACTCTCAAGAGTCTCCTCCAGCACCATCATTCAAAAGCATCCATTCTTCTGCGATCAGCCTTCTTTATGGTCCAGCTCTCACTTCCATACATCACTTGTGGCCTTAAGCTATCTTTAATGTAAGCCGCTTTGGGTCACTCTGCGAGAAAAGCGACTGGCGAATTTTAACAGCAGCAGCCAGTCCCCAGCAATGTCTGGAGGATGAGAGCTCTAGGACTGGGTGCTACCCGGTTTTCAACGTCACGTTATATTCGGCAGCTAAATATTGGGATATGCTGATATATCTCAATGCCTGGAATGTATCTCAGCAGCTTCTTCCTCCCCACTTTAGGGGAGGAAGGGGCAGGTGAGATATAAGCTGAGCAAGCCTTCATACCACTCTGGGTAGTGTGAGGTGGGGGGGGGGGGCTTCCTCAAAGGCGCAGGTAGAGCCCAGAACCACCTCAGGCTCTATCTGCCTGCCTGATGTATCGCCAGCTCAATAGCTGAACGCAGTACCAGTTTCAGACAATTTACTGACGTTATCACCCAGTTCTAGACAGCTCCCATCACCTCTGACCACTGGCCATATTCGCTGGGGCTGATAAGGGATCCTGGAGCACAAGAATATATGGAGGGACGGGTTCCCCAGTCCTGGTCGAGCTAGTGTGGCGTGGGTTCGAATCCTCCCTCAATGAACCATGAGGTTCATTGGAACATTCCCTGCTAGCCAGGGACTATGGTCCATTTAGGCCAGTAGTGTTTGCACTGGCTTTGAAGTGGCTCTCCAAATCCCAGGTATGGTCTTTCTCCTATCACCTGCTACCCAATTCTTTTTTAACGGGAGCGGAATCTGCATGCAGAGTGTATTCTGCCACTGAGCTGTGGTCCTGCCCCTCAATTCCCTTGCCTTTCTGGAGGGAGGCAGGCTTCCTTGTCCACAAGCCCCACATAAGGAATAGGGAACCTGTGGTCCTCCAGAAGCTGTTGGATTCCAACTCCAGTGATCAGAGAAGACAAGAATATACAGTGGTACCTCGGGTTAAGTACTTAATTCGTTCCGGAGGTCCTTACTTAACCTGAAACTGTTCTTAACCTGAAGCACCACTTTAGCTAATGGGGCCTCCTGCTGCTGCTGCTGCCGCGCCGCCGGAGCACGATTTCTGTTCTCATCCTGAAGCAAAGTTCTTAACCTGAAGCACTATTTCTGGGTTAGCGGAGTCTGTAACCTGAAGCATATGTAACCTGAAGCGTATGTAACCCGAGGTACCACTGTAGAGCCCAGCATCATCTAGGCCCACATCCCTGCTCCTTGTGAAGATTTCCCTCTCTTCTCCTCTGTTCTTTCCTCCTGCTAGCCGCTCTGCCTCCAGGGCACTCTTTAGGGTCAGTTTTTTAATTTTAGATTTCATTTAGTGGGTGGCATAATTCACCTGCCTATTGGTTGCTGATGTCTGAAGACAGCTTCCTTCCCCGCCCCCTTCTCTTTGCTCCAAGGCTGAAACCACAGAGATGGATGGATTTCAGGCTGACACGGAGGAAGAGGATGACGACGAATGCATGATTGTGGACGTGCAGCAAAGCAAAGGTGAGGCACCTGGTTCAGGCAGTTGGCCACCCACGCACAGGTACACCCTCCCACCTCCACAAGCTGCCTAGTGTCTTTGTGTGTGCCATCTGCTCATGGTCTCTCCCAAGCCGGCTTAAGAAGCCTGCTTTAAAAAATTGTAGCTCTTGTCATGACAAGACTCAGAAAACGCAGTGGCAGAGAATTAAAGAACTGGAAAAACAAGCACACTGCTGTTTCCCAATACGTCTCTCACACAGGTCAACCCACAGAGGCGAGAGGATGAGCAGAGCCGTCTATGGAGAAATCTTTCCCTGCTTTTGCTTATGCACCTTTAAAGGAAATGAGTGGGGGGTCTGTGGGACAACAAGCACTCTGAATTAACTGCTGTGTGCATGTGAACAAGTGGCCTAACGTTCAGTAGGCTTGGTTTAATTTCCCCCCTGCTTTCTGTTCCGGAAGGATCCCTTAACGCAGGCATAGGCAAACTTGGCCCTCCAGATGTTTTTGGCCTACAACTCCCATCATCCTTAGCTAGCAAGACCAGTGGTCAGGGATGCTGGGAATTGTAGTCCCAAAACATCTGGAGGGCCGAGTTTGCCTATGCCTGCCTTAATGCGAGCTTGTGTAAAATAATAAAGCACAGTAAGTTTGCTTTGGGCACTTCTCGCTCTTCTGACACACACACAGCATCATTGTGGGGTGGAATTCCTTCCCATCTCCCCGGCCCATTGCCCCCCCTCCTAGCTTTGCTAGCAATTAGGTGTCAGTTTCTTGGCCATACGTTCCATACAGCCATTCAAGAGTGAGAAGGCAACAGCTGTCATGCCTCAATTTTGTGCATAGTGTTAACTAGGCCCTGGCTGTGTCCCCGCGTCAGTCTTGAGTTCAATAAACCATGGCTTGTTGGATCTAGAGTAAAAGTTGGGCACACAAACACACTCCTGTTTTCGTGCTAATCATTGGGGGTTGTTACGTCATGAGATAGATAGATAAAACGTTATTTGCATTAGCCAATGGCCATAGCAACAGTAAAACATTACAGTATACGCAGAAAAGGAAATTTGATATAAGAGCACAATCATGAGTGTTGCTTCCAAGTCTACAATTCTGTAATAAAGGGAGTGTTTGGGGGGGGGAATTGATCACTTTTCTGAACACAAAAGACAGTGAAAAACCCACAACTCTACAGAGGAGCAGCTGTTTATTCTGTATCTTGGTATTAGCCAAACGTCAGCTGGGAACAATTCAGCCAAGGGGGACTGGCCTAGGGAAAAGAATTGGGAGCTGTAGCAGGTTAGCTCCAAAGGAAGCTTCACATCAGGAGGCGCAGACCCACCTTATCTATTTTTTGAGTAAACTGTTGTGTCTTCACAGCACCTGCGTTGGAGACCCCGGAAATCGCATCTGAGGGAGAGCAAGCTACTTCAGTTGCTGCCGTCGACTCCTCTAATGCTGTTTGATATACACAGTCCCCACCCCACCCATTAACTGCTCTGTATGTATGTAGAATTCCTTAGAATGTTTTTTTAAAAACTCTTCTGTATCTTTTTTATTGTATAAGATACTTGAACATACTCTGTATTCCTTGTAAAGAGAAGACAGCACTTTGTTCTGCTTCAGATCAGTGGAAGCACAAGACGTACTTTTTAGAGGTTTAGTTGGGGGGAGGGGGGCAGGTTTAGATGAAAATACACTTATACTCTCTCTAATAAAAGCATTATTGACCTTTTCAGCGTGCCCCATACAAATGGGGATACCTGTCACATTTTGTCTAGGAGAGGAGAGGGGTTTAAAAGTGTGCCAGGAACACACCTCATGCCTCAAATCCATGCCTGCTCATCCCTTTTATTCCATTCACATCAGCGGCGTGAAGGCCCCTGATCTCTTTTCCCAGTCTCAGCTGATCTTTCCCATCCACTCTGGCAGCTGGAGGAGGAAACCCGGGGCCAGAAGTGACAAAGCCGCCACTTTAGTCTGCACATGGATGTTGGCTTTGAAATTTTTCGCACTATAGGACGCCCGTTTTTCCCACCAAAAATGAAGGGGAAACGTGTGTGCATCCTATAGAGTGAATGCAGGCTTTCGCTGAAGCCTGGAGAGCGAGAAGGGTCGGTGCGCACCAACCCCTCTCGCTCTCCAGGCTTCAGGAAGCTATCCGCAAGCCTTCAGAACCCGGTGGGAGTTCCCGCTGGGCTTCCAAGGCTTGCGGATAGCAGGCAGCAGCCTGAATCCTGGGGAGCGCAGCACTGCACACCCCGGGCTTTGGGCAGCTATCCGCAAGCTCCGGGAGTGAAGAGGTTCCTCAGGCTTTCCCCGCCCCAGCCCCGCGGCTAAAGAGGAAGCCAAGACAGCCACTGAGATGGATCCCGCTGGCTGTCTTGGCTTCTTTGCTCTTTGGGGCTGGGAAATATTTTTTTTTCTTTATTCCCCCCCCCAAAAAAAAAACTAGGTGCGCCCTATAGAGCGAAAAATACAGTACGTCCCCTTTAGGAACATGGAAGCTGCCTCTTGACCATGTAGTCCTGCATTGTCTACCTTAACTGGCAGCAGCAGAGTGTTTCAGGTGGTGTCTTGCATCTTCACCATCTGATGCTCTAAAGAAACAGAACTGGAGATTGTACCAGCAGTGTCGGAACATGCCTGGGGGGGGGGCACACGCACCCCCTGGAATGAGACAGACCTCTCCGGGCGTCTTCCTGATGAAGCGCAGCTTGGGACGTTCACAAATCAGTCCCAGTGCGCACCAGCGACACACATCTAAATACATGTGCACACTTATCAGCAGAGTATAGCAGAAACAATTATGGAGCGTGGGTGTGTGCATTCTAAGTATTTATTAAGCCATGTATACAGGACAAAGCAATCATGGCGTCCTCTCAGTTCTTCTCCGAGAGAGAGAGAAAAGTACAAAAGTACAGTATAGCAGAAGGGACGCGGGTGGCGCTGTGGGTTAAACCACAGAGCCTAGGACTTGCTGATCAGAAGGTTGGCAGTTCGAATCCTTGCGACAGGGTGAGATCCCATTGCTCGGTCCCTGCTCCTGCCAACTTAGCAGTAAATAGGTACTGCTCCGGTGGGAAGGTAAACAGTGTTTCTGTGCGCTGCTCTGGTTCGCCAGAAGCGGCTTAGTCATGCTGGCCGCATGTCCCGGAAGCTGTACGCCAGCTCCCTCGGCCAGTAAAGCGAGATGAGCGCCGCAACCCCAGAGTCGTCCGCGACTGGACCTAATGGTCAGGGGTCCCTTTACCTTACAGTATAGCAGAAGAGAGATAAGACTGACTTCCATTCTCACACTTTCCAAGCCTAGAAAGTAAACACTGACATGTGATGTAACAATCACGTACCCAGCAACGGAGGAGTGAAATGCTAACAAGCAGCGCCCAACCTTTTTTTGATCAGTGGGCAGCGGTCCTGAACTTTGGGGTGGGGCATGACACAACATTAAGTCATCGTTTCTTCCGCTCCCCAGGGGCCTCATTACCATGGGAAGTCAGCTATGTCCTGCGAACATCCCATAATACTTCAGGATACACACAGTGTTGCCTAGAAGCAGGACCCATTCCTTAGTCCCAGGGGAAAGTATACAACAGGGGTCAGCAAACTTTTTCAGCAGGGGGCCGGTCCACTGTCCCTCAGACATTGCGGGGGGGGGTGGACTATATTTTTTTGGGGGGGGGGACAAACGAATTCCTATGCCCCACAAATAAACCAGAGATGCATTTTAAATAAAAAGGACACATTCTACTCATGTAAAAACACGCTGATTCCCGGACCGTCCGTGGGTCAGATTTAGAAGGCGATTGGGCCAGATCCAGCCCCTGGGCCTTAGTTTGCCTACCCATGGTAACCTGCGCTTCCATGAACAGCTAGGCAAATATTAAAAAATGCAGTATAAACACCGACAACTGGGAAACACTGGCCTGCAAGCGCTCCAGTTGGAGAACAGCCTTTCCCAAGGGTGTCATGGGCTTTGAAGACACTCAAACTCAGGACCAAAGAGAGAAACGTGCTAAGAGGAAGGCGCGCTTGGCAAATCCACACCGTGATCAACTCCTGCCCGAAAACCTATGTCCCCACCGTCGAAGGACGTGTGGATCCAGAATTGGCCTCCACAGTCACTTACGGACTCACTGTTAAGACCGTGTTCATGGAAGACAATCTTACTCGGCTACAAGGGATTGCCAAAGAAGATGACATCTATCCCTTTCAGCAGAAAACCCCGCTTCCAGATTAATCCAAAAACAGGTGAAGAGAGCAAACTGATTCTATAGCTCATTCCTCCACTCTAAGGTATGCACTTGTTTCTGCAAAGCAATCTGCAGTCGCCCTGGCAGGGAATAAATGGAAGCTTCTGGGAGTAAAGCAAAGGTGGGGAGGGGGCCTCATCCTTGCCCATGCTGACCATTATTTGTAAGACTTAACATTCCTGTGACTCTAGTTTAATTGTTTTAAATATTTAATACAGAATTTCAAATTGCTATAAGCCACCATGAGACCTGAAGGTCGTGGTAACAGTACTTTTATTACTAAATTTGTATAACTGCCCTTCGTTCGAAGATCACAGGGCAGCTCACGACATAAAAATAAAAAATGGGATTGCAAAATACATAAAACGAAAACCAATGGCCTCTCCCTCCTACAGATTTAAAAGACTGCAGAATGCTAATCCGCCAAAGCTTGGTTATAGAGAACATTTCCCCCCGGCGCCTAAAAGATGGGTGGTGCAGGTGCCAGGCAAGCCTCCCTGGGGAGAGCGTTGCACAAATGGGGAGCCACCACAGAAAAGGCCCGTTCTCCAGACCTCTAATGGGGGAACAACATGAAGGAGGATAGCAGAGTTTCAATGTCTGACCCTGGCGACACGTAAGATCTTACCTGGGGTCTAGCACTGTTATTATTTATACCCCACTTATCAAACATTAAAAACCCTATACAGGGCTGCCTTCAGATGTCTTCTAAAAGTCAGTTTTATTTCCTTGACATCTGAGGGGAGGGCATTCCACTGAGGGCACTACTACCTGGTTCCCTGTAACCTCACATCTTGCAGGGAGGGAACCGCCAGAAGACCCTTGGAACTGGACCTCAGTGTCCGGGCAGAACAATGGGGGTGGAGACGCTCCTTCAGGTATACAGGGCCAAGGCCATTTAGGGCTTTAAAGGTCAGCACCAACACTTTGAATTGTGCTTGGAAATGTACTGGGAGCCAATGCAGGTCTTTTAGGACTGGTGTTATATGGTCCCGGCGGCCGCTCCCAGTCACCAGTCTGGCAGCCGCATTCTGGATTAGTTGAAGTTTCCGACTCGCTTTCAAAGGTAGCCCCAAGTAGAGTGCATGGCAGTAGTCCAAGTGGGAGATAACCAGAGCATGTATCACTCTGGCCAGACAGTCTGCGGACAGGGAGGGTCTCATCCTGCATACCAGATGGAGCTGGTAGACAGCTGCCCTGGACGCAGAATTGACCTGCACCTCCATGGACAGCTGTGAATCCAAAACGACTCCCAGGCTGCGCACCTGGTCCTTCAGGGGCACAGTTACCCCATTCAGGACCAGGGAGTCCCCCCTCTCACTTGCCTGCGGATCAAATGCTCCACCACCAAGCCACAACCTCTCTCCCCTCACGCCGTTCGCCACTCTCATCGCCTGCTGCTCTGGAAGACAAAACACCCCAAGTACCTGTGGCAGCACATCTTCCTTTAATAAAGCTAACAGCTTCTCCTGCCTGTAGGCTGACTCAGTTACAGACCAAAAACGAAACCAAAAAGAAGCTTCTTCCTAGCCCGGGATCGGGGAGGAACAAGGTTTGTGGAACGGAAGCAAAAAGGAAGCGCTCCTGGCCCCTCGGAACAAGCCGATTCGTGTTGCCAGGGCAGGGTAGTGTTTTGATCTTTGTTTTTTCCCAGTGAGAAGCTTCGTTTTGAGGCTAGAAAGAGGTTCAGACCCCTCCGAGGGAAGGTTATAAATAAAAGAAGAAAAAGAAGCAGCACTGTAAAAATATCTCTCTTGATCCAACTCGTTTTGAACCAGTTCCAAGTCCTCCATGCGCTACTGCCCGGCTAGGCAACTGCTCTGGCCGCAGCTATTCTGATTCCAGGGCCCTAACACGCACTAGGGAAAAACAGCAGCCTCCTCCCCGCCCCCTATTTCTGCCCCCATTTAGTGTTCACAAGACAGGGAGTTACTGGAGCATCCGAAGCAGCGTCCGTAAGAAACACGGGAGAAGGGGAGCACGAGGGACGGGGCTGGATCTAATCCCGGTTTGCTTTTATTTTCAGGACAGGGTCTGCACGGCCAGCAGGAGGTCTGGCTTCAACACGCTCTCCATGTGCTCCCCGCCGGAAGCCTTGATATCCGCCATGACGTCGGCATCCCAGGCGAACGTCAGAAGGGCAGACGGCACCTTGGGGAAGAAACAAAGGCACTTGGCGTTATTAGGACTAGAGGTGTAAAATTTCCGGAAAATGTGAAGGCACTGGGGGGGGGGGCATCTGCCCCCCCCTATTTTTTTCCGGGGGTAAATTTTGGAAAAATTGAAACAAAGTTCAGTGTGGCTTTACAAATTGTGTGAAACTCAGGGTAGATAAAAATATTGTGCTTGCAATAAAACTGGTAACCACACACCCCTTTCCCTCAAAAGCAACAAAAAAAAGCAAGAAACCATCAACATGAAAAAATAATCAGATTTGCCCCTTAGCACCAACAGCAAATAAAGATAAGGTCCACTTCAATATTTAAGCTCCATAGAAGGTCTACCCTTTGAGTAGTGCTTTAAAAAAAAAAAAATAGAAGACACAACCTATACATGCAGTTTATCTCATTTTCTGAACTACTGCTATCATTTTCCATTTCTTCTTGCTCTTCCTTCTTTGTCATTTTCTCATGGACTTCTAAAAACTGCTTTGGAAAAAAATGGGGAGTGGGGACTGGTTTTCCCCTGGGGTTTTTCCAAGCCTTCCCATCCACTCTGGGTGACTCCCATCAGAATGTGAAAAACACGATAAAACATCAAACATTAAAAACTTCCCTAAACAGGGCTGCCTTCAGATGTCTTCTAAAAGTCAGATAGTTCTTTATCTCCTTGACATCTGAAGGGAAGGCGTTCCACAGGGCGGGTGCCACCACCAAGAAGGCCTTCTGCCTGGTTCCCTGTAACCTCCCTTCTTGCAGGGAGGGAACCACCAGAAGACCCTCGGAGCTGGACCTCAGTGTCCGGGCTGGACGATGGGGGTGGAGACGCTCCTTCAGGTCTACTGAGCCGAGGCCGTTTAGGGCTTCAAAGGTCAACACCAACACTTTGAATTGTGCTTAGAAATGTACTGGGAGCCAGTGCAGGTCTTTCAGGACTGGTGTCATATGGTCTGGGTGCATTGTTATATCCTCAGATTTCAGACTCTTGTCATTTAGCGCCCTCCCCTCCCCTGCTCCCCAAGTTCTTCCAAAAACCACCTAGGCCAAAATGAAAATTTCACCTGAATCACACAGGGTGTACAGCTGTCCTTCCCAACCCAAGCTTCGTTAGAGGAGCACAGTTCAAAGGAAGGATCCTGCCGTTAAGGGACATGAAAGCCCCATCATATTCATGTTGGCTATTTGAAGATTAGCTGCACTAAGGAAGCTTCCTGGGGAAACCACACATTACAAGGAATGCAAAATACCGTATTTTTTGCTCTATAAGACTCATTTTTTCCCTCCTAAAAAGTAAGGGGAAATGTGTGCGCGTCTTATGGAGCGAGTGCAGGCTGCACAGCTATCCCAGAAGCCAGAACAGCAAGAGGGATTGCTGCTTTCACTGCGCAGCGATCCCTCTTGCTGTTCTGGCTTCTGAGATTCAGAATATTTTTTTCCTTGTTTTCCTCCTCCAAAAACTAGGTGCGTCTTGTGCGAAAAATACGGTAACTTTAGCAAGGTTTTACTAACATAAACAAAAACTCCTTTTACACTAAACATATCAATAAGCATAACCCAACCCCCAGGGTACTGAGAGAGCTAGGTGATGCTCTTTATATACTATACCCAATTGCTAACACAGCTTAATTAACACAACTAAACAGCAGCTGCTATACTGCTTCACAGCTGTAAAACTAGGTCATGTTATTTGCTCTGGCCCTTAAAGACATACACATCTTGGGGAACAATAAGGAACCTTCAAATTTAAAGAGACCATTCAACAATTCAGTGGTGCTTGCTCCAGGTTTCAAGGTGGACAGGACCGCCCCTGACCCCCCCGTCATTGGCAAGGAGACTTAAGTAAGGTGGCCACACGTACCAGGCCACATTCATTGAGTGCCATGCTCTCGTCGGTCAGTTTGTGGCCTCCGGGGGCCAGAAGCTCAAAGGGGAGCCAGTTGTTCTGCAGCGTCTCTCGCACAAACTGGTAAAGGGCTGAGACGGGTTCCCGGGCGTAGAACGTCCCTGTGCCAGAAAGAAAGAAAATTTACTCTCTAGTGTTTTCTGCAGATTCGGAAGTTTGTGCAGGGCAAACCCACGCCATGCATCTGAAGCACATTCAACACGCATTTGAAGCCTGTGACTTCACTAAAAAGGATCCCAGGAATCGTGGTTTCTCGGTTGCAAATCTACCCATGCTCTTAAGAATATTAGTGGGGGTGGGCAGGGGAAGTAGTAGACCATGGGTGGTCCGGGAATCAGCGTGTTTTTACATGAGTAGAATGTGTGCTTTTATTTAAAATGCATCTCTGGGTTGTTTGTGGGGCATAGGAATTTGTTCATTATTTTTTCCCCAAAATATAGTCCGGCCCCCCACAAGGTCTGAGGGACAGGCCCCCTGCTGAAAAAGTTCGCTGATCCCTGAACTACACCATGTGAAAAACGACCATAAGATTTTAGCTGCATTTCATTCCTTTTCAGCTTTGTATTCTTGTTATAAGAATACAGTGGTACCTCTGGTTACGTACTTAATTCGTTCCGGAGGTCCGTTCTTAACCTGAAACTGTTCTTAACCTAAAGTACCACTTTAGCTAATGGGGCCTCCCACTGCTGCCGTCACGCGATTTCTACTCTCATCCTGAAGCAAAGTTCTTAACCCGAGGTACTATTTCTGGGTTAGCCGAGTCTGTAACCTGAAGCGTATGTAACCCGAGATACCACTGTACATTCCGTTGCTGCGCCCATAACCTAGGTTTAAGGCGCCATTCAGCTCCTGGCTTTCATATCTCAGTTTCTAACGCTGCTCGCGAGGTCATCGTGCTATAATATTTCTTTAAGGCATCCATTCTTCCAGCCCAAAGACTTAGGATGAAGCAACCTGTGACGACTGAGCATTGGGTGGTTGACAGCCTCTGGCCGGGCTCTGGTTTGCACCCAGAGCTTTCGCACGTACCTTGTAAGATGTACCCGTCCGGGAAGCGGATGCGCAGCAAGGCGTAGTTGTACTTTCTCAGCTCCCTCTGCTCCTCTTTCTCCCGCATGGCTTTCGTTCTCAGCATCGATGCCTTCTCAACCGCTTCTGTCCTTCAGAGGCAAAAGAAAGAGGGACCATATTGGAACGCAGACCCAACAACTGGTGTCGCCAACACATCCGCAGCGGTTTCCAGATCTAAAATACAATGAGCACCTCATTCAAAGCAGCCCTGCACTGGCTGCCTTTTCCTTTTTTTGGTGCCCACTTCTGGGTTGGAGGAGCACCGGAAAGCGCTTGTGCGCATGCGCAAGCATTATTTGCGCATGCGCAAACGTTATTTCCAGTGCACATCCGGGTCAGAGGAGGCCCGTGCACATGCGCACAAGCGATTTCCGGTGCTCCTCCGACCCGAAACTGCACCGGAAATTGTGTGTGCCCATGCGTATGGGCACGCGCTCCCCTGCCCTCCGGCCCACCGCATGATTGGCGCTGGAGACACCAGCCCAGGCACACTGGTAGTAGACTCAAATCTGTGGCTTAAAGTTAAGGGAGCCGTTTTAAAATAGGTTTGTCATTGTGGAGTGCTGCTTTTAACAACGTAACGGCCCTGCGAAGCAACAGCTTCCTGGGTTCAAGTCCTGATGTTCTGCGAAATGTATTTTTAAAAAATGATTTTCAAAGCAACCCCCGGACCGAGCTGGGGAGGCAGCGGCAAAAACGTGTGGCCTGTGTTGGACTGATCTTTAGTTTAATAATGATATTGGAAAGCTGTTCCATTCAATTATAAGGAAACTCAGGAGGGAAGGACTAGAGGAAGTCAATTAAGAGGTTTAAAAAGGTGGGATTTTCAAAGAATTAATTATTATTTGTGTATTTTTTGTTTGTTTTGTTTTTGTTTTTGTGTGTTATTTTGCTTTGTGGTTTTTGTTATATTTGTGGAAAATCTAATAAAATGAGTAATAATAATAAAAAAGCAACGTGTGGCCAGTGAGCCTTTCAGTTGAGGCGGCACCACTCACCGGAGCCGCTGTTCCCGCTTGAGCTCCTCCGCGGTGATGCTGAAGAAGTCGCTTGGCAGCTCGAAGCGGGAGGCCTGGGGGGACGGCTTGAAGACGCGGAGCTGGCGGTCCAGCTGGGCCCGGAGCGGCTCCCCGCTCAGAAGCTTCTCTTTGTGCTCCTTCAGGTCGCCCAGCTTCCCCTCCTTCAGGACATAGAAGTCCTCTGTGGCCTCTTCTAAAGGGATGGGGCGGGAGGAAAAGAGACGGATCCTCTTAGCACTCGGCCCTTGCTAAGGGTGAAGGAATGGGTTTCCAAAACCTAAAACCTGACTGGGCAGTCAGTCTGAAACGGGGCCCAAAATCCGCATTTTTCCTTCTCCAAGGGAGCATTTCTAAAATGCTTTAACTTGAGCTCTTGAGCCAAAACCCAGCTGTATAAACAAGTGCTCAAAGCTCTCTCCTTTATCAGTCCGTGACACCTAATGAATGGCCTTGTCCGTTCCAAAGTGGAGCAGGGATGACACATCTGGGTCTTATCTTACACTGAGGCACAGACCTTGTCAGGCACCCGGGAACGGCGCCAGGAGTTGGTGACCTCTTACTCCAAGATAAGAGTATAGGTGCAGGAACAGGAACACCCTTTTATGGTCAAGAGTACAGGAAGAGGAACTCCCTTTTATGGTTAAGAGGACCGGAGCAGGAACATCTGTGATGTCAACCTGCATGTATAAGCTGACGCGGCTGGATTCCTGGGGAAGGGGGGAGAGGGTGCCTGGAGGATATATATACTGCATGAAATTTCTCATTTCTTTGGACTTGCTGTGAACTAACCACGCAAGTGCCTTCTGCTATCCGGAGAGCAGAATAAACTCTCTGAATCAACCTCGGTGTCATTTGACTCCTTCCTCCCTGTTCTGGGAGCAACGCTCACCCTACCATCGGTAAAGTCTAATAAGGCTACAAGGGGACAGGGGGCAGTCGGGTGTGGCGGACTCCCTGGTCCTGAATGGGGTAACTGTGCCCCTAAAGGACCAGGTGTGCAGCCTGGGAGTCGTTTCGGATTCATAGCTGTCCACGGAAGCGCAGGTTAATTCTGCGTCCGGGGCATGTCACGGGGCTGCCAGGGAATGCCCCGGAGCTTAGGGAGGGCGAAGAACAGGAGCCTTTAGAAAAGACAGGAGAGGGAGAGGAGGACAAGCAAGTGGAAGGAACTCAAGCGGCGAGGACACTCGCGGATGCTGGAGATCAGCAACACCACCCAACCAGTTCAGGGACAGAGGGAGATTCAATGCCCATTCCTTCAGCACAGGACAGGAGGGGGTTAAAACGTAGGGAACAGAGGAGGCGCTTGGGGGTTCCCAAGCTCCTCTGCTGGAGGAGGAGCCGAAAGCTCCCACTTCCTGGATCTGCTACCAAGGATTCGGACGCTTGAAGCTATGTTCTGTACCTTGTAAATATGTATATAAAGACTGTAAATATATCTCTGAGTGAGCAGAGGTATTCCTTGCGAAAGGCTTCCAGACCCATCACAGGGCAGCTGTCCACCAGCTCCACCTGAGACCCTGCCTGCTTGCGCACTGTCTCGCCAGAGTGGTCCATGCTCTGGTTATCTCCTGCTTAGACTACTGCTCTCTATGGGGCTACCTTTGAAGGCGACTCAGAAACTACAACTAATCCAGAATGTGGCAGCTAGACTGGTGACCAGGAGCCGCCGGCGGATCCATATAACACCAGTTCTAAAGGACCTTCACTGGCTCCCAGTACATTTCAGAATACAATTCAAAGTGTTGGTGATGACCTTTAAAGCCCTAAACAGCCTCAGCCCTGTACAGTGGTACCTCAGGTTAAGTACTTAATTCGTTCCGGAGGTCTGTTCTTAACCTGAAACTGTTCTTAACCTGAAGCACCACTTTAGCTAATGGGGCCTCCTGCTGCTGTGCCACCAGAGCACGATTTCTGTTCTCATTCTGAAGCAAAGTTCTTAACCTGAAGCACTATTTCTGGATTAGCGGAGTCTGTAACCCGAAGTGTATGTAACCTGAAGCGTATGTAGCCCGAGGTACCACTGTATACCTGAAGGAGCATCTCCACCCCCATCGTCTCTACAGCCCAGACACTGATGCGCAGCTCCGAGGGTCTTCTGCCAGTTCCCTCCCTGCAAGAAGCGAAGCTACAGGGAACACCTATATGGCTTTTAGAAGACATCTGAAGGCAGCATCATATAGCAAAGTTTGATGTTTCATTGCGTTCTTAATATTTTGTCGGGAGCTGCCCAGAGTGGCTGGGGCAACCCTGTTAGATGGGTGGCATATAAATTTAATAATAATAGCAATAATATCTGCAGGAACGTCTTGTAATGCCACTTCTCTCAGATAGCAATTCACGAAGAGGAGGAGGGAATGGAGATAGACTTAAAAGAAATACAGTCATACCTCGGGTTACAGACGCTTCGGGTTGCACGATTTCGGGTTGCGCACCGAGCCGAACCCAGAAATACCGGAACGGGTTACTTCCGGGTTTCGGTGCTTGCGCATGCACAGAAGCGCTAAATCACGCTTTGCGCATGTGCAGAAGCACCGAATCGCGACCCGTGCGTGCGCAGACGCGGCGCTGCGGGTTGCGAATGTGCCTCCCGACGGATCACGTTCGCAACCCGAGCGTCCACTGTATATCTCCACTGCAGCAACTCTTAAAAGGTGGCTTGAAGATGGACAGAAAAGCTTCCAATCACAAGGGAACTTGAAGCGGCCTGGAGAAACCCTCACCCCAGGAATCCCCCATCTGACCTAAGCAAAACCAGAAGCATTCTGTACAGTGTTCAAAGTGCTTCTCGCCTTGTAATCCTGGCAACAATCCTGCAAGTTCGGTGGGTCTTATCCTTGTCTCCATCTGTGGCTTGCCGAGATTCTGTGTGGCTTGCCCAGGGCCACCTTGTGAGTTCGTGAGACGGCGCCTTCCGGTCTGCAGCTCAGCCTTTCAGCTGCTACGCTGAGCCTTACCTTGTCCCGGGACACTGAGGGTGGCCTTTTCAAACCCGACGGCCTGGAAAAACTTGTGCGTCCCCTCCAGACAGTGGATCCTTTCCTAGGAGGAAGCCAAACGAATCCATCACACACAACTTCCAACAGCCAGCCAGCGAGAGCATCCCTGAGGCTGCTTGTTTCGGTTTTATGTCGCTTGCATTTGCACCCTGCCAAAGTCTGTTCAACAATATAAGGCGATTTAAGCGAGGGGTGGAGACCCTCTGAGCTGTGGGCCAAATCTGACCCAGCATGAGCTGATGACACCTGATGTCACAACAATCTTAGCTTCAAGCGATCTTAGCCCCCTGAGCTGACATGCCAAATGGGTCTTATCCTTCGCTTTTCCAGTCCTTATTTTACTGTGAGATGGTTTCTGTCAAGCTGGCAGCAACCTCTAGCAAGAGCAGGGTTTGGGAACATGGACATTAGGTAAAGGTAAAGGGACCCCTGACCATTAGGTCCAGTCGCGGCCGACTCTGGGGTTGCGGCGCTCATCTCGCTTTATTGGCCGAGGGAGCCAGCGTACAGCTTCCGGGTCATGTGGCCAGCAGGACTAAGCCACTTCTGGCGAACCAGAGCAGTGCACGGAAACGCCGTTTACCTTCCCACTGGAGCGGTACCTATTTATCTACTTGCACTTTGACGTGCTTTTGAACTGCTAGGTTGGCAGGAACAGGGACCGAGCAACAGGAGCTCACCCCGTCATTGCGGGGATTCGAACCGCCGACCTTCTGACTGGCAAGCCCTAGGCTCTGTGGTTTAACCCACAGCACCACCCGCGTCCCATTACTGGGCCCTCAACTCCCACAAGGCCCAGCTGCTGGCAGGGACAGTTGTCTGGGATGAGAGGAGTTGTACTCCAGCAGCACCCAGGGAGACCCTCCTCTGAAACGCACCCACCTGGAACACTTTGTTCTGCAGTTTGATTTTCCGGTACTTCTCTTCCTCTGGGTGGAGGTGGATGTTGTCAAGGTACCTTGGGAAGGAAGACAAGTTGTCATTCTGGGCACCAGTTTGCTCAGGCTTCCTCTCAAAAGGAAGTACCACCAAGTTCAATAGGGACTTTTTATACCATTTTCATAGGTTTTTTTAAATAGGAGGCTTGTCAGAAAGGTTTTCCCCCCTTAATAATAATAATAATAATAATAATAATAATAATTTTTTATTTATACCCCGCCCTTCCCGGTTCAAAAACCGGGCTCAGGGCGGCTAACAAAAAATATAAAACACTTAATTGTAAAAGCAGCATAAATACAGTATAAAAACATGAATAACAATAAAATCCAAAATTTAGAAATCAATTTAGGGGAGATAAGCATTAGTTAATCTCCAGGGCTAGCTGGCTGAATTGGTCCTATTTGGGCCAGCGAGGAGACCAGGGGAGAATTAGCTTTGGGATCTCAGAGCGGGTAATCTTCATAAAAGGGGAGGGGGAGGGAAGAAAAGGGAAATAAAAGATCAGGCTGAAATCAAATATAAGGTTAAAAGAAGTTTTCTTTTTAGGTATTATAGGGCAGGAATTGCCAGAAGAGCAGAAGAAGCTATTCATGGATGCTACGACAGTGGCTAGGACAGGCATAGGCAAACTCTGGCCCTCCAGAGGTTTGGGACTACAATTCCCATCATCCCTGACCACTTGTCCTGTTAGCTAGGGATGATGGGAGTTGTAGTCCCAAACATCTGGAGGGCTCTAGGATTTACTAGCCCCCAAAAGGGAAGAAGACAAGACACCAACGAAAGAAGAATGGCAAGGTAAACATATGGAATATGCAGAAATGGTGAAACTCACGGGAAGACTCAGAGACAAAGGCAACAGAGACTTTAAAAAAAGACTGGGAATCGTTCATGCTGTATTTACAGAAATATTGTAAAGAACTGGACTCACTAGCAGGGTTTGAGTAAAACACTTAATGGTTAAGAAAACCAGAGGAAAGGTGAAGAAACAACAATATGGAAATGAATGAAAGGTAAGAAGTAACCGGAAGAAAATTAGGTACAAAAATGATAAAAATGTAAGAGCATTCAGCTAAAAGATGAAAAATAAGAGAAAATTTAAGCAGAAGTGGCAAATTGTTAAACAACCAGAAGGGGAAGCGGAGGAAAGGCACGGGGTGGGGAGTTTTGTTTTATTCTATTTTTTATATATGATAATTGTGTTGAATATTAAATGGTAAAACTTAATAAAAAATTATTACAACAACAATCTTTATTACGGTCCAGAGACCCAACAAATCGTTACAAAGCAATACATAATTCATACAGCCTACCTCCAGGTTAAACAAGCATTTTGTTCAGAATATAGGGATCACTGGTTCTTGCAAAAACCTGACAGTACCAAACTATCAAAGGCTTTTCACCAAAGCCAGAATAAACGTCTTTCCTTCTGCAGTGTTGGATGGCAGGTTGAGAGGAGTTCCCTACCAGGACAGACTTTGCTTGTGTGCTCAAGACATGATTCCATAAAACATATTTTGTTGCACTGTGCAAAATATGAGCAAGCCAGGGCTGAACCGATACTACCCTCGCTGGTACCTTTCCTGGGGAAATCAGAGACTCGCTATGTCAGGTTCCTATTGGAAGACCGGACAAACGCTAGAACATTAGCAGTGGCAAAGTTTTTATCGGTGGTTGCAAGAACCAATGATCCCTAGCTTTAAGTCTGAACAAAATGCTTGTTTAAACTGGAGGTAAAGGTAAAGGGACCCCTGACCGTTAGGTCCAGTCGTGGCTGACTCTGGGGTTGCGGCGCTCATCTCGCTTTACTGGCCGAGGGAGCCGGCGTACAGCTTCCGGGTCATGTGGCCAGCAGGACTAAGCTGCTTCTGGCGAACCAGAGCAGTGCACGGAAACACCGTTTACCTTCCCGCCAGAGAAGGTATTTCTCTTCCCGCCAGAGAACCTATTTATCTACTTGCACTTTGACGTGCTTTCGAACTGCTAGGTTGGCAGGAGCAGGGACCAAACAATGGGAGCTCACCCCATTATTACAAAAAAAGGAACAGGGGGGTGGGGGGTGGGATGACGACGACACCAACAGCCACCAGGCTCCACTTACTTTGCAATGGTCTCCACTCCGAGTTTGACCTTTTCCCGGTCCCTGTTGCAAGTGTGGATTTCCATGACGGCAGCTGCCACGGGGTCTTGGGCAGCATGCTGGGGAGATGAAGAAACAGAAATGCCCGGGGCTGTTCTGCCAAATCCTGGAAGGCCTCTAATCTTAATAACTTGAGTTGCAGGTATTCAAGGGCTTGGCAGACTCCCTTCTTGAAAAGGCATCTTACAAACTAGAAGGATCCAAAAGGCAGAGCTCTGTAGCGTGATTTTATTTCTCGTACAGAGGCATGTGGTCATTCAGTATACCGTATTTTCGCTCTATAAGACACACCAGACCACAAGACGCACCTAGTTTTGGGGGAAGGAAAACAAGAAAAAAATATTCTGAATCTCAGAAGCCAGAACAACACGAGGGATCTCTGCGCAGTGAAAGCAGCAACCCCTCTTGCTGTTCTGGCTTCTGGGATAGTTGTGCAGCCTGCATTCGCTCCATAGGACGCACACACATTTCCCCTTACTTTTTAGGAGGGAAAAAGTGAGTCTTATAGAGCAAAAAATACGGTATGCAAATACCACCGGTATATGCAAATGTCTGGCTCGTTTAAGACTACAGTCGCACCATGGTTTTCGAAACGCCTAAGTTCTCAAACGTTTTGGCTCCCGAATGCTGCAAACCCGGAAGTGACTGTTCCAGTTTGCAAATTATTTTTGGAAGCCGAACGTCCAATGGGGCTTCCTATTGGCTGCAGGGGCTTCCTGCAACCAATCGGAAGCCGTGCCTTGGTTTCCGAACGTTTTGGAAGTCGAACAGACTTCCGGAACGGATTCCGTTCGACTTCCGAGGTACGACTGTATATCGAACCTTTTGTCCTCCGTAACGATGGAGCTCATCGGCGGAGAACACTTTTATTTACTTCTACAAAACTTTGATAATTTTAAAAACAACTGCCGAACCCAAAGCATTGTCTGCCAAGAGATACATATACAGACTTTAAGTCTTGCATGCAGCCATCCACGTGGTATCAAGACGGACTTGGAAAATCTTTTGCGTTACAACTCCTTTTATTTTTATCTACCGTATTTTTTTGCTCTATAGGACGCACTTTTTCCCCTCCAAAAATTGAGGGGAAATGTGTGTGCGTCCTATGGAGCGAATGCAGGCTCCCCGGCTTCAGCGATAGCAACGCTAAGCCTCCGAAGTGCAGAGGGAGCGCTTCCTCCGCGCTCCGGAGGCTTCGCGTTGCTTTCGCTGAAGCCTGGAGAGCAAGAGGTGTACTGACCCCTCTCGCTCTCCAGGCTTATGCCATAGCCCCGCGCAACCCCTCCGGAAGGGAGAGGTTGCGCAGCCAGTACGCTGCTCTTTGGGGCTGGGGGGAATAAGATTTTTTTTCTTGATTCCCCCCCCCCCAAAAAAAACACTAGGGGCGCCTATGGTCCAGTGTGCCCTATGGAGCGAAAAATGCAGTTTATGTGTTACTTTTAAAGGAAACCTTTGCATGCACTGATACTTTATTATTTGGTACTGGCCATGTAATTCAGTGTTCTGTGAACCTCAGCTTTAATTTGAGGAAGTTAAGTTTCCCGTCCCTAAGGTTCCGCAGGTAGGCTTGGAAATACATGAGCAGTGCCTGGTGAAATCTCAGAAGCAGGATTCCAAACCGTCAGGTTGTGGAGCTACATTACCTATCGCGGTGCTTTACAGGATCTCACGAGTGAATAAAGCTGGATGAAATACTCAAAGTAAGCAAATACATGCACATATTCTGAACGATATGATACTTTATTATCCCTTTGCAGCTGTGCTGCATTTTGGTACTTTTGTCTTCCCAGGCAAAACTTGTTATATTTGCATTTCTTTTTTCTGTTAACAGATCAATAAAGCTGGGTGGGTGGGAATGCACTCTCTGTCGAGACATCAGAGGACACACTCCCCAAAATAACCTTACCTCAAGGATGGCCTTTTTGATCTGCGCCTCTCTTTTATCCTTCCGGACGGTGGCCCCAGTTAAAGGGCAAGTGAAGTAGACTCCTGAGACGGACAACATGGAGGGATCTTCTTCTTGAAGAGCAGGTAAAGAATTCTAAAGAGAGGCGGGATTTTAAGACAGGCGATGCAAAACTGAAAAATGTACTATGATGCATATATGGTGGAATTGTTTGAACATCAAACAATTTTGGGAAACAATATACAATGAAATGTTCAGATATTCATTTAGGAACACATCAGAAGGTTTCCTATTGGGAATAGTACCAGGAAGTCTAAAGGAAGAAGACAAGACATTATATTTATACGCAACAGTAGCCGCAAGGCTACTGATTGGGAAAAATTGGAAAAGTGGTATTACACAGACAAAAACAGAGTGATTGCCAAATTATTGGAGTATTACAATATATCCAAAACAATGGGAGAAATTGGAAGGATCTCAAAAGAGAAGATAGACAGGGACTGGAAGGTGTTTAAAGGATCCTTGCAAAACCATATGGAAAAATCAGTACTCCTATCAGAATAAACAAGTTCCGTTTTAAATACTGAAATACTAAATAAGATGGATAACAATGTGTAACAGAAAAAGGAGCATGAAATTAGGTTAAAGGTGTGAGAAAAAAAGTAATAGAAGTTGAAAGAAATTGCAAATGAGTAGATTGGAAGTCTAACACAAAGGTGGGGTGAGCTGGTGGGAAAAGGAATTATCTGTGAGATTGAGTGCAGGTATGTTTGAACATTTTTAAGAATTGTATGAAATGTATGTCTGTATGCTTGTATATTCACAATATGTGTGTATTAATGCTGAATTGTTTTAATAATAAAAACTTTTCAAAAAAATAAATAAATAAGACAGGGGCTCCATTGGAGGAAGAAAAAGAAAAGGTCTATGCCCATTGTAGTTTGTTTTGCCACTATTTTAGCAACTGCAATGATCATATAGATCAGGGGTCAGCAAACCTTTTCAGCAGGGGGCCAGTCCACTGTCCCTCAGACCTTGTTGGGGGCAGGACTATATTGGGGGTGGGAATGATGAAATAGCACCACGATCCCCGGTGGCTGCTTACCTGTGTCTTGCAAGCGGCAGGGGCTTCCGGCGGCGGGAAGATGAGCGGCATGTGAAAGGACTCCGGAGAGGGGCTGCTTAAAATGGCGGCTGCTCAAGTGCTGCTGCTGCTGCAACAAACCAAGCCCCCTTCCTCCTCTAGGCAGGGCAGGGAGAAGCTAGGAGGAGGGAGGGAGGAGGCAGTGCTGCTGCCGTGTGAGGGAGAGGGAAAGAACGTGCGCACTGGCGATCCACGCGGCGATTCCCGGACCATCTGCGGGCCAGATCCAGGCGGCCGTTGGGCCTGATCTGGCCCACGGGCCTTAGTTTGCCGACCCATGATATAGATCAGGGTCGGCAAGGTTTACCTCGCCTGGGCCCGTTCACTCCCACAGAGATTGCTCCGTGGGCTGGGTCGCGTCTGCGCAGACACGATTTCCGGTGCTGTGGAAGTGAGTCCCCGCTGTGCGCTGCACCGGTTTAGCGCAGCGCGTAGGTGGCTCGGTTCGGGGGTGGCTTATGAGCCATTTAAACGAACCCCGTGGGCTGCAGGTTGCTGACCCCTGATATAGATCCATCTGAGGTATTGATTGGTTTTGAAATGATTTACCTGTACACCTGATTGTTACTGCAACAGTGATGCCTCAATTTTGCATGTGTGAGCTGCTTGGAGCAGATTTACACAGAAAAGCGGCATACAAATTTAAAACAATAAATAAATGAAAGCCCAACCCTTTGAAGAAATACTGAAAGAGCAGGTCAAAAACCTACTAATAAATGGCGAGGCGACAAACGCAGCTGTTCCTACCTTCTGATCCACAGCGGCTCCTTTGTCGCTTGCAGCTGCTTCAGCCATAAGCTCCTTTTTCACTAGAAGAACAATTAAAACAAAGATATGCATCAAAAGTGAAATTTGAGGAGAGGAGCAACCAGGTATTTGGGGTCTATACCCATGGGTTGTGTGCTATAAATTTTCTGTCCAAATTTACATCACCTTCTCTCTCTCATTGTGTGCAATTACCTTCAATGCAAGTAGACGCAATGAAAATAACTGATGCGACTCGGGCCCATTAACCTAAGAAGATTCCTGCTGGATCAGAACAATACAGAACAACAAACCCCTGTGTTGCAAACTTAACACAACAAGCAACACAAAGACCAGTACAGTGGTACCTCGGGTTACATACGCTTCAGGTTACAGACTCCGCTAACCCAGAAATAGTGCTTCAGGTTAAGAACTTTGCTTCAGGATGAGAACAGAAATTGTGCTCCGGCGGCACGGCAGCAGCAGGAGGCCCCATTAGCTAAAGTGGTGCTTCAGGTTAAGAACAGTTTCAGGTTAAGTACGGACCTCCGGAACGAATTAAGTACTTAACCCGAGGTACCACTGTATACTAGACAGCACCATAATTCTTAATGCATAATATACATATTGTATTTTTCGCTCTATAAGACGCACCAGACCGCAAGACGCACCTAGTTTTTGGAGGAGGAAAACAAGAAAAAAAAAAAATTCTGAATCTCAGAAGCCAGAACAGCAAGAGGGATCGCTGCGCAGCGAAAGCAGCGATCCCTCTTGCTGTTCTGGCGTCTGGGATAGCTGCGCAGCCTGCATTCGCTCCATAAGACGCACACACATTTCCCCTTACTTTTTAGGACGGAAAAAGTGAGTCTTATAGAGCAAAAAATACGGTAATTTAGTACAACAAAAACAAAATGGGTACCCTTGCAAATTCTCTAATACATTTGAAAACAATGGCTCATCTAGTCCCCGTTCTCACAGTGGCCAACCAGAAGCCTGTGAGGAACCCTCCAGCCCAGCAGTTCTCAACCTGTGGGTCCCCAGATGTTGTTGGACTACAACTCCCATCACCCCTGAGCTCTGGCCTTGCTAGCTAGGGGTGATGGGAGTTGTAGTTCCAACAAGATCTGGGGACCCACAGGTTGAGAAAGGCTGTTCCAGCCCTCTCCCCTGCTGTGGTTTCCAGCAATTGATATTCAGGAGCGTTACTGCCTCTGACCCTGGAGGCAAAGAATAGCTTTGCCCTGATAGCCCATTCCTCCATGAATTTTTCCATCCTCTTCCAAAGCCATCCAAGTTGGTGCCCACCGCTGCGCCCTGCGGCAGGGAGTTCCAGAGATCAACCATGAACTAAGGACTTAGAATCATAGAGTTGGAAGAGACCACAAGGGCCATCGAGTCCAACCCCCTGCCAAGCAGGAAACACCATCAGAGCACTCCTGACATATGGTTGTCAAGCCTCTGCTTCCTTTTGCCTATCCTTCCTTTTGCCTATCCTGAACCTTCCACCATTCAGCTTTGCTGGAAGTCCAAGAGTGGCAAGAGCTGCCGTTCATTTCAACGGGACTACTGTGAGCAGGTAGTCCCTGCTCACAGACGCGGGTGGCGCTGTGGGTTAAACCACAGAACCTAGGACTTGCCAATCAGAAGGTCGGCGGTTCGAATCCACGTGACGGGGTGAGCTCCCGTTGCTCGGTCCCTGCTCCTGCCGACCTAGCAGTTTGAAAGCACGTCAAAGTGCAAGTAGATAAATAGGTACCGCTCCAGCAGGAAGGTAAACGGCGTTTCCGTGCACTTCTCTGGTTCGCCAGAAGCGGCTTAGTCATGCTGGCCACATGACCTGGAAGCTGTACATCGGCTCCCTCGGCCAATAAAGCGAGATGAGCACCGTAACCCCAGAGTCGGCCACGACTGGACCTAATGATCAGGGGTCCCTTTACCTTTACCTTACTGTGAGCAGGACGTCACAGGCTTTTTTTACAAGGTGTGTAGGAAACTGGATACACTGCCCAAAAAGCACAGGCACTGCACTTTCCCCTTCCTTCTGTGGAATAAGAGTGCCTCCCTGGATCCTCAGAACATATAAATCAGGGGTAGGCAACCTAAGGCCCGGGGGCTGGATGCAGCCCAATCGCCTTCTCAATCCGGCCCGCAGACGGTCCGGGAATCAGCATGTTTTTACATGAGTAGAATGCGTCCTTTTCTTTAAAATGCATCTCTGGGTTATTTGTGGCGCATAGGAATTTGTTCATTTATTTATTTTTATATAGTCCAGCCCACCACATGGTCTGAGGGACAGTGGACTGGCCCACAGCTGAGAAAGGTTGCTGAGCCCTGATATAAATCAACAACTAACCAAAAAGAGAGAGAGATTTCATTAAGACTCGCAGGCCAGCAACTCCTGCCCCTCGCCCTTTTACCCTGATTCCGGATGGCGTCTTGGGATGAGGGGGGACGAGGTTTGGGCTTCTGCTCCAGCCGGGCCAGGGCTGCCGCCGCCGCCATCTGAGCTTCATTGGTCGGCCCTTGGCGACATTTGGGAGGAGGGTCAGCTTTCGGCTTCTCCTTGGGAGCTCTTTCTCTGTTGGGGAGAAACGGAGACACTTTGAGGGCAGAGAAGCGCAAGTGCTTTGAAGGCCCAGCAAAGAACACAAGTTCCAGGGAGCCTGTCAAGCAGAACTGTTGCCAGGGGGCGCAGGTCAATTCTGTGTCCAGGGCAGCTGTCTACCAGCTCCATCTGGTATGCAGGCTGAGACCCTACCTGCCCACAGACTGTCTCACCATAGTGGTGCATGCTCTGGTTATCTCCCGCTTGGACTACCGCAATGCGCTCCACGTGGGGCTACCTTTGAAAGCCAGTTAGACACTACAACTAATCCAGAATGCGGCAGCTAGACTGGTGACTGGGAGCGGCCGCCGAGACCATATAACACACGTCCTAAAAGACCTACGTTGGCTCCCAGGACATTTTCGAGCACAATTCAAAGTGTTGGTGCTGACCTTTAAAGCCCTAAGCGGCCTCGGCCCAGTATACCTGAAGGAGCGTCTCCACACTGAGGTCCAGCTCCGAGGGCCTTCTGGTGGTTCCCTCCTTGCAAGAAGCCAAGTTACAGGGAACCAGGCAGAGGGCCTTCTCCGTGGTGGCGCCTGCCCTGTGGAACGCCCTCCCATCAGATGTCAAGGAAATAAACAACTATCTGACTTTTAGAAGACATCTGAAGGCAGCGCTGTTCAGGGAAGCTTTTAATGTTTAATAGGTTATTGTATTTTAATATTCTGTTGGAAGCCGCCCAGAGTGGCTGGGGAAACCCAGCCAGATGGGCGGGGTATAAATAATAAATTATTATTTGAGGGCAGAGAAGCGCAAGTGCTTTGAACGCCCAGCAAAGAACACAAGCGCCAGGGAGCCTGTCAAACAGAACTGTCGCCCTGAGGATCACGAGCGGCCAACCCCTTCCAGGTGGCGGCCCCCAGCAGCTGGAGGCAGGGCTGGCAGCACTGGGCAACACTGCCAATCCCCAGCCCGCAGCCCTGGACCTGTTCCTTCTGCTCTTCGCCATGAACACAGAGAAGCAACAGGAGCAGTATCTGCCTCCAGTCACCTCTACCTCGAGATGAAGGTGAAGGTGTGAGCAAATGAGAAAACCTGTTCGAGAAGATTCCAATGTGCCCAAAATTCTTTCGGGAATTGTAGGGACAGAACTACCTAAATTGCATAGAAATGTATTTAATGAATGCTACCTGCCCAAAGGGACGCGGGTGGTGCTGTGGGTTAAACCACAGAGCCGAGGACTTGCCGATCAGAAGGTCGGCGGTTCGAATCCCCGCAACGGGTTGAGCTCCCGTTGCTCCATCCCTGCTCCAGCCAACCTAGCAGTTTGAAAGCACGTGAAAGTGCAAGTAGATAAATAGGTACCGCTCCGGTGGGAAGGTAAACGGTATTTCCGTGCGCTGCTCTGGTTCGCCAGCCACATGACCCGGAAAGCTGTACACTGGCTCCCTCAGCCAATAAAGCGAGATGAGCGCCGCAACCCCAGAGTAGGCCACGACTGGACCTAATGGTCAGGGGTCCCTTTGCCTTTACCTTACCTGCCCAAAAGTGGAAAGAAGAAGAAGTCCCAGCAAAGGAAGAATGGATACAAAAACTTATGGAATATGCAGAAAGGGTGAAACTTACCAGAAGAATAAGAAATCAAGACAACTTTTTTAAATAAAAGAATGGAAATGGTTTACTGAATATTTACAGATAAATTGCAAACAGATAAAAACATTGGCAGGGTTACTGTAATAACCTGCAGTTTTGTAAGAGTATATATTTAAAGTAGATAATTAAAGAAACAAATTAAATGGATTTGAAAATGCAGAAGTTACTAAAAAATAAATCTAAGGAACCGCAGAAAGAGGGGGAAGGAAGTCAAACTTTGAAGTGTTAAATTGGTTGTAAAACTAATGAAATGGTTCAACTTGAAAAGTATAAATAAAAACGTTTTTAAAAAGAGAGAGAAGGTGCGAGTGTAGCTAAAGAGCTGGGTCAAGAATGCTACAGAAGAGCTCCCATAAGGAAGGAGCAAGTGCAAGAGAAGGCTAGCTTGGTTTTTAAGCCATAAGGCAGGGCTGAGGAACTTGAGGTCCTCTAGCTGTTGTTGGGCTCCAAGTCCCAGTAGCCCCAGTCAGGGATGATGGGAAATGTAGTCCCAACAACATCTGATAGGCCACAGATCCCTCACCCCTGCAGAAGGAATTTCATAAAACGGCGGGAATTTTGCGCCAACGAAGAGAACTAAAAGGTACACAGACCACTGAATGTTTCCAAGCAAACTGTAAACAGATAAGAACACTGGCAGGGTTATTTTAATAACCTGCAGTTTTATTTTAAAAGTATATACTTAAAGCAGATGAATAAATGAACAAATTAAGTTAATTTGGATATGCAGAAAGTATTAAAAATAAATTTAAGGAACCGCAGAAAGAGGGGGGAAGGAAGTCAGGCTTTGAAATGTTAAAATGACTGTAAAATTATTGAAATGTATAAAACTAAAAGGGACCCGGGTGGCGCTATGGTCTAAACCACAGAGCCTAGGGCTTGCCGATCAGAAGGTCAGCAGTTCGAATCCCCACAACGGGGTAAGCTCCCGTTGTTCGGTCCCTGCTCCTGCCCACCTAGCAGTTTGAAAGCATGTCAAAGTGCAAGTAGATAAATAGGTACAGCTCCGGCAGGAAGGTAAACGGCATTTCCGTGCACTGCTCTGGTTCTCCAGAAGCGGCTTAGTCATGTTGGCCACATGACCCGGAAGCTGTCTGTGGGCAAACGCCGGCTCCCTTGGACTGTAGAGCAAGATGAGCATGTAACCCCAGAGTAGTCCGTGACTGGACCTAATGGTCAGGGGTACCTTTAACTTTACTATAAAACTAAAAATCATCAATATTTATTATTTATAGATAGATAGATAGATGATAGATATAGATAGATAGATATAGGTATAGGTATAGGTATAGATATATATACACACACACACACACACACGACCAGCCTGTTTAAACTCCAATGCCTTTCAAGATGGAGCCGATCTGTTTCTTGATGTTTAAAAGCCTCCGCCAGCTTCCCTAAAAGTTACTGAGCACATCCCAGGCTGAGCTGGGATTGCAGCTTACAGTCTTTCACAACTCTCAGGGCAAGGCTGGCTACCTACCTGCCCAATTACAGATAAACGACTAGGAAGATGACTTACACACCTATTCATATAGCGCAGGGAATTCCACGCAAAACTGAGAAATACTCCCAGGAGAAAAAAGAGATTGATATAGTGAAGGGGGTACATACACCACTCTGGGGTGGGGTGTTCTGCTCATCCTGGCAAACGAAAGCTCAGCAGAGAAGCCAAGGCAGTATGGACTCTGTCCAGCCAGCACTGTCCCCACAGTGTCACAGCACCATCACAAAGGGGCTAGGGAGCACCCACTGGCAGCCAGAGGCCCCCCAGAACGTCTTGGATGAAGGAATTGAGGGGACCCTTGCCAAATCTGCAGATGACACCAAACTGGGAGGGGTAGCGAATGCCGCAGGAAACAGAATTGGGATTCAAAAAGACCTTAATGGATTGGAGAACTGGGTGCAAGCTAACAAAACGAATTTCGATAGGGACAAATGTAAGGATCTGCACTTAGGCAGGAAGAATCAAATGCACAAATATAGGATGGGGGGAAACCTGGCTTGCTAGCGGTACATGTGGAAAGGATCTAGGGGTCTTGGTGGACCACAAAGTGAACATGAGTCAACTGTGTGATGCAGCAGCAAAAAAGGCTAATGCTATTCTATGCTGCACCAACAGAAGTCTAGTGTCCAGATCGAGGGAAGTAATAGGTAAAGGGACCCCTGACCATTAGGTCCAGTCGTGGCCGACTCTGGGGTTGCGGCGCTCATCTCGCTTTACTGGCCGAGGGAGCCAGTGTACAGCTTCCAGGTCATGTGGCCAGCAGGACTAAGCCGCTTCTGGCAAACCAGAGCAGCTCACGGAAATGCCGTTTACCTTCCCGCCAAAGTGGTACCTATTTATATACTTGCACTTTGACGTGCTTTTGAACTGCTAGGTTGGCAGGAGCAGGGACCAAGCAATGGGAGCTCACTCCATCGTGGGGATTCGAACCGCCGACCTTCTGACTGGCAAGTTCTAGGCTCTGTGGTTTAACCCACAGCGCCACCTGCGTCCAATTCTGGGCACCACAATTTAAGAAGGATGTTGACAAGCTGGAAGGTGGGCAGAGGATGGTGATCAAGGGTCTGGAAACTGAGCTGTTAGAGGAACGGTTGAAGGAGCAGGGTATGCTTAGCCTGGAAAAAAAGAGACTGATAGGATAGCCATCCTTCAAATCTCTGAAAGGCTGTCACAAGGAAGAGAGAACAAGTAACAGGGCTGCTCTATTCTGCCTTGGTCAGACCCCACCTGGAGTACTGTGTCCAGTTCTGGGCACCACAATTTAAGAAGGATGTTGACAAGCTGCAACGATCAATGGTCTGGAAGCTAAATCTTATGAGGAGTGTCTGAAGGAGCTGGGTGTGTTTACCTTGGAAGAGAGGAGACTGAGAGAAGATAGGAGAGCCATATTCAAGTCTCTGAAGGGCTGTCACAGGGAAGAGGGAACAAGGTTGTTTTCTCCTGCTTTGGAGGGCAGGACTCGAACCCATGGCTTTCAGTTTTCTGAGTGAACATGAGGAAGACAGTGAAGAGCTGTTCTGACTGGGATGGAAGGTGGTGGGCTCTCCTTCCCTGGAAGTTTTTTAGCAAAGGTTCAACATCAAAAAAACTAAGATCATGGCCACTGGTCCCATCCCGCCATGGCAAATAGAAGGGGAAGAAATGGAGACAGTGAGAGATTTTACTTTCTTGGGCTCCATGATCACTGCAGATGGTGACAGCAGCCACGAAATTAAAAGACGCCTGCTTCTTGGGAGAAAAGCGATGACAAACCTGGACAGCATCTTAAAAAGCAGAGACATCACCTTGCCAACAAAGGTCCGTATAGTTCAAGCTCTGGTTTTCCCAGTAGTGATGTATGGAAGTGAGAGCTGGACCATCAAGAAGGCTGATCGCCAAAGAATGGATGCTTTTGAATTCTGGTGCTGGAGGAGACTCTTGAGAGTCCCATGGACTGCAAGAAGATCAAACCTCTCCATTCTGAAGGAAATCAGCCCTGAGTGCTCACTGGAAGGACAGATCCTGAAGCTGAGGCTCCAAGACTTTGGCCACCTCATGAGAAGAGAAGACTCCCTGGAAAAGACCCTGATGTTGGGAAAGATGGAGGGCACAAGGAGAAGGGGACGACAGAGGATGAGATGGTGGGACAGTGTTCTTGAAGGTGCCAGCATGAGTTTGACCATAGTGCGGGAGGCAGTGGAAGACAGGAGGGCCTGGCATGCTCTGGTCCAGGGGGTCACGAAGAGGCGGACATGACTAAACAACAACAACCACCACCACCACCACCCTATACCAGGGGATCTCAGGGCAATTCACAGAATAAAATCAAGATATAAAACTACAATAGGTAAAGGGACCCCTGACCATTAGGTCCAGTCGTGGACACGACTCAACAACAACATTGTATGGCCCTCTGTCTTGTTGAGACCCCTGCCTTGCAGAGGGGGCTGGACTAGATGACCTTTGGGGAACCCCTTCCCTGCCCCTCATTCTCTTCTCCCCCTCCCCAACGGGGACCCCGCCCACCATTCGCGGAAGGGGGGGGCTGGTTACCTAGGCGACTCGCTGAGCTTCTGGCCCGGCCCGGCTCCCTTGAACTGCAGCTCCGCTTTGATATCTTGGAAAAACTTCTTCATGGCGGCGTCGAAAGCGCCCCTCCCCCCCCCCGTCGCCTCACGAATCCCCAAACATATCAGCACCCGCCGCCCCCGCCGTTGCCTCTCGTCGCTCCGCCGTAAACAGGAAGCGGAAGTCGGTTGCCGGAAGGACCGGGGGCCGCTTTCCGGTCACGTGCCCCGCCACTTCCGCCCTCTCCGGACTCCAACGGGAGGTTGAGGGCGGAAGTTGAGCGCTGCCCCTGTAAAGTGCCGGTCGGCGTCGAGCCCAGCCGGAAGTGGAAACCCTGAGGTTTTGATTGGTTAGACTTCTATGGTTCCCGCTCCCAGCTAGGAAGGAAGGCCGCTCTAGGCGAGTGACCTTCCTTCTCCATGGTCAAAGTTTACCAAGTCCTTAAATGAAGCCATTAAGTCACAGATCAGGCATAGGCAGATGTTGTCATTCTTGTTGTTTAGTCGTGTCCGCCTCTTCGTGACCCCCTGGACCAGAGCACACCAGGCACTCCTGTCTTCCACTGCCTCCTGCGGTTTGGTCAAACTCATGCTGGTAGCTTCAAGAACACCATCCAACCATCTCATTCTCTGTCGTCCCCTTCTCCTTGTGCCCTCAATCTTTCCCAACATCAGGGTCTTTTCCAGGGAGTCTTCTCTTCTCAGGAGGTGGCCAAAGTCTTGGAGCCTCAGCTTCAGGATCTGTCCTTCCAGTGAGCACTCAGGGCTGATTTCCTTCAGAATGGAGAGGTTTGATCTTCTTGCAGTCCATGGGACTCTCAAGAGTCTCCTCCAGCACCAGAATTCAAAAGCATCCATTCTTCGGCGATCAGCCTTCTTTATGGTCCAGCTCTCACTTCCATACATCACTACTGGGAAAACCAGAGCTTGAACTATATGGACCTTTGTCGGCAAGGTGATGTCTCTACTTTTTAAGATGCTATCCAGGTTTGTCATTGCTTTTCTCCCAAGAAGTAGGTGTCTATTAATTTAGTGACTGCTGTCTCCATCTGCAGTGATCATGGAGCCCAAGAAAGTAAAATCTCTCACTGCCTCCATTTCTTCCCCTTCTATTTGCCAGGAGGTGATGTGCTCAGTGGCCATGGTCTTAGTTTTTTTGATGCTGAGCTTCAGACCATATTTTGCGCTCTCCTCTTTCACCCTCATTAAAAGGTTCTTTAATTCCGCCTCACTTTCTGCCATCAAGATTGTGTCATCTGCATATCTGAGGTTGTTGATATTTCTTCCGGCAATCTTAATTCCATCTTGGGATTCATCCAGCCCAGCCTTTCGCATGATGAATTCTGCATATAAGTTAAATAAGCCGGGGAGACAATATACTTCTATACTCCTTTCCCAATTTTGAACCAATCAGTTGTAGCCAGGGATCATGGAAGTTGTAGGCCAAAAACATCTGGAGGGCCAAATTTGCCTATGCCTGTCATAGGACCATGGAATTGGAAGGGATCCTGAGGGTCATCTATCCCAACCCGCTGCAATGCAGGAATATTCAGCCATCCCATGCGGGGATCGAACCCGCAACCTTGGGGTCATCAGCACGGCACTCTAACCAACGGAGCTTTGCAACCTCCATGCATGAAGCACATTTAAAAGCCAGGGTCTTCCATGAAATAATTCCTGGGAACTGAACGCTTGTGCAAGACCCCAGGATCTGCCTCGATATTTCTTCCTTCACTCCATCCAGGACTACATTTCTGTTCTGCCTCATCTATATACTACGGTGGTGCCTCGCAAGACGAAATTAATCCGTTCCGCGAGTCTCTTCGTATTGCGGTTTTTTCGTCTTGCGAAGCACGGCTATTAGCGGCTTAGCGGCTATTAGCGGCTTAGCGGCTATTAACGGCTTAGCGGCTATTAACGGCTTAGCGGCTTTAAGAAAAAGGAAACAAACTCGCAAGAACTCGCAAGATGTTTCGTCTTGCGAAGCAAGCCCAAAGGGAAATTCGTCTTGCGGAACGACTCAAAAAACGGAAAACTCTTTCGTCTAGCGAGTTTTTCGTCTTGCGAGGTATTCGTCTTGCGGGGCACCACTGTATATTTCAGTACCATTCCAGAAAAGATTTCCTTGTTAGCCCCAAAGTGGAAAACCAGTGAGGTCCCAACCAAAGAAGAGTGGCAATTTAAGTTGACAGAATATGCACAACTCGCAGACTTAACGTATCGAATGTTGTAAACGAAAACTGCTCCTTTTCCCTTATGGGGTCCACAAGAGCCTATATAGAGTTCTTTGTAGGTTCTCCATCGTTAGGAGGAAATAACAGAGGCCAACCAGAGACTATTGAGAAGCAAAGCAGCTAGTAAGCTGTTAAAAGCTGTTGCTTCTTCTTTGGCGATCCCTCGTAGCTGAGTAAGATTGACTTCCATAAACACGGTTTTAACAATGAGTCCGTAAGTGACTGTGGAGGCCAATTCTGGACCCACACATCCTTCCACAGTGGGGACATTGGTTTCTGGGTGGGAGTTGATCCTGGGGTGGGTTTGCCAAGCGTGCCTTCCTCTTAGCACATTTCTCCCTTGCGTCCTGAGTTCGAGCGTCTTCAAAGCCCATGACACCCTTGGGAAAGGCTGTTCTCCAATTGGAGCCCTCTCAGGCCAGTGTTTCCCAGTTGTCGTTGTGTATACATTTTTTTAGATTTGCCTTGAGACAGTCTTTAAACCTCTTTTGTTGACCACCAGCATTACGCTTTCCATTTTTAAGTTTGGAATAGAGTAGTTGTTTCGGAAGACGATAATCGGGCATCCTCACAACATGATCAGTCCAACAAAGTTGATGTTGAAGAATCATTGCTTCAACACTGGTGATCTTTGCTTCTTCCAGTACACTGGCATTAGTTCGCCTGTCTTCCCAAGGGATGTGTAAAAATTATCGGAGACACCGTTGATGGAATCTTTCGAGGAGTTGGAGATGGCATTTATAAGTGGTCCATGTTTCACAAGCATGCAGTAAGGTTGGTAGTACAGTGGTACCTCGGGTTACAGACGCTTCACGTTACAGATGCTTCTGGTTACAGACTCCGCTAACCCAGAAATAGTACCTCGGGTTAAGAACTTTGCTTCAGGATGAGAACAGAAATCGTGCGGAGGCAGCAGGAGGCCCCATTAGCTAAAGTGGTCCTTCAGGTTAAGAACAGTTTCAGGTTAAGAACGGACCTCCGGAACGAATTAAGTACTTAACCCGAGGTACCACTGTACAATAGCTTTGTAAACAAGCATTTTGGTAGAATAGTCCTAGCAAACATCCCCAAAGCCAGCATAGTCTTATTTGCTCCAAAGTCTTATTTGCAAATACCCATGGGTTTTTTAGATCGTATGACCTGGTTGAAAAAGATAAATGTGGAAGAGAGGCATTTGTTATGCAAACGAGGCGCCTTGCCCTTGATGCCGCATGACTAGTCCTCCTAAGGCACATTTCTTGCTTTTATTTCCCCAGTGAAAAAGTGAAAACGCCTTTCCATTTGAGAGTTCGGAGCCTTGGGGAAAACACAGGTTGGGGCTTGATTGTAGATGCCAATTAGGAACGTGGTGCCAACTTCGTAGCTCCAGGCAGCACCGTTAAAGTAGCTGCTTTTAGGAGAGCTGATATTTAAAAGAGAAAGATCTGGTGCTTTAAAAAAAATAATGCAATGCCTTTTCTGCTTCCTCTTTGATACACACACACACACTCTTTGCATAGCACTCTCATGCACCCTTGAGCATGAAGTTTGGTGGGTTGTATTTATATATATTTTTTAAAAATGATATTTATTAAATTTCAACATATTACAAAGATAAGCAAAAAAAGAAAAAAGAAAACAAATAAAAAAAGAAAAAAGATATAAAAATGGAAAAATACAGAATAAAAACAGTTAAACAAACAGATTAGTCTTTCTATGTCTTATCCTTCATTTACTTGTTTCCTCGACCTCCTCACACCTCCCTTTTTTGTATTCCAGTTCACATATTTTGTTCAGCAGTTCCCTCCCCTCTTTTAAAATTCCTAATCATTAATCATAAAGATATTGTACTTTTAGATTTTTACATATTACATGATAGACCCTTTTTTCATCTTCCCTTATAACGTTTCAGCTAAGAACCACTTAGTTTTTATCGAACATCATTCTAACATTCATTAATTTTGCAATATTTCTGTAGATAATCTTTGAATTTCTTCCAATCTTCTTCCACCGACTCTTCTCCCTGGTCTCGGATTCTGCCAGTCATTTCCGCCAATTCCATATAGTCCATCAGCTTCATCTGCCATTCTTCCAGGGTGGGTAGATCTTGTGTCTTCCAATACTTTGCAATAAGAATTCTTGCTGCTGTTGTGGCTGTGGGTTGTATTTATAGAGTGTTGGAGTGGACATAGATTGGTTGCCTTTGATTCAGTCACACCCTTTTCCTCTGTTAACAGTCTGGCCTAGGGGTCAGCAACCTATGGCCCGTGGGCCACGGCGGTCTATAAATTTAAGAAATAACGATGACAATTTTCTTTTATTATTATTATTATTTTATTTTAAAAAGAATGCTGAAGTTTACAGTACAAAAGCAACAACAACAGAAGGAACAAAATTGTGATCCTTAGGCGGTATATAAATTTAAGAAATAACGACGACGACCATTTTCTTTTATTATTATTAATTTATTTTTTAAAAGAAAGCTAAAGGTTTATTCTGCATCTCCTGTCCCTGCCCAATATTCCCTTGCAGGGTGTTCATACTTGCGCAAACTTTCTAAGCCAGGAAGACACCTGTTTCAACGATGATATTTAAAATAATAATAATAACAGCTCAAGAATAGGCTCGATGAAATCATTGCATTTATTAATGAAGATTTGTACACAGCCCTTCATCCGAAGATCCCAGGGCGGTTTGCAGCAGTAGGAACACGAAGCGAGAACGCAAAACGTGCAATTAAAAACAAGAGAGCCCTGCAACCGCTCTTCCCCTTTGATTCATTTCATCCATTCATTTCCCATGCGCCTGAGAATTCAGCTGTGTATGACCAGGGAGAAGAGTCGGTGGAAGAAGATTGGAAGAAATTTAAAGACTATTTACAGAAATATTGCAAAATTAATGAATGTTAGAATGATGTTGGATTGAAGTTAAGTGGTTTCTAGCTGTACAGGTACAAAAGAATATGGAAAAATTGGTTTTTAATATGTAAAAATTTAAAGTTATAATATATCAAGATTAAAGATTAGGATTAAAAAGGAGGGAAAGGAATTGTTGGATTAACAAATTGAATTGGAATACAAAAGAGG